ATGTTTTACATTGCCACGTACGTCCGCATTAAATTAGTAGATCGATATATTTCCTGATTTTCTCCAGTCCTTATTTTTCCCCATTGTAATCACTTGTGATAGCCACATTAATAATCTATATGTGCAAACTATTTGATTCTTTATTTTTCTCTCCCCCCTCCCTCCCACACGCACACACACACACCATCTCCCCTTCCCAATCACACCACTTTACAGTACTATACAGCATGATATATTAAATGCAAGGGTGTCCCTCTCTCTTAAACCATGACTGTTTGTGGGATGTTACTGTGAGCAATTGGCTGCCACATTTCGCCCACAAGATACACAGTCACTACACTTTACAGTATATTCTGTGAAGCGCTTTGAGACGTCTTGATGACATGATCAGGCGCTATATTCAAATGCAAGATTATTATTATATTATCATTATGATAATACCTGGTCTGTTACAAATTGTCCAGTGAATATAGTTAGCTACGTTATTATGTCTAATCAGATACTTTGTTTATGCTAGGGCTGGGCATAACATGAAAAATAATGATAATTATTTTTATTATTTTCTTGTTGTTCCCTTCAGAATTTTAAACACCTCTGCCATATCCCCTCTCAACCTACTCTGTTCACTAAAAAAACGCACCAATTTAGCCAACCTTTCTTCATATATACTTTGTTTCATATCTGATATTATCCTAGTCAATTTGCTGCACCATCTTGTTCTCTATCACATTCTTCTTGTATTAGGGTGGCTAACCTTGACTACAATACTACATCTGCAGCAGAACTAATGTTGAATACAAAACTAATCATATCCGTGCTATTCAGATATCTGGCAATAGTTCAAAGGCTCATTTCTCCACTCCCAGCAGCTAATTCTCCATCTTCTAATTCTCCAGAGAGGACTTGGATGAAATAAGTACCAAGAATAAAATGCTTTGAAATTGCTATGGAGCCTGTCAAATCTCCACGATTGAATAATGCTAACCTTTGGTTTATTTTACCTACAAAATAACAATAATGATTCCATTAATCAACTCATTTACCAACAAAATAGTCAATAGCCAGTTGCATTACCAAAACAGTGCCACATTTCCATTGTAGCCACAAAAACAAGCAATTTCAGGCCTTTTACTCCATTTCTTATGTTACACCAGAGATACATTGTCCCCATTACACCAGAAATCAGATAGATACAGGTTCATTGCCCTTATTACAATAACAAATTGCATTTGTATAGTGTCTTTCACGTCATGAGGACATCCCAAGGTGCTGGACTTTCAGGGATTTGGGCCCAAGCGTGTGAGGTTGAATCTTAGAACATTTGACTGCAAGTTAAATTATCATTATTATTCTGGCATTAGGTAGATCACTGGTGGGGTCATTGTTGGACTAATGTGTGCATGTTTTGGCATGTTACCTTCAGTAGCACATTAATGTAGGAACATATGGATTGAAATTCAGGACAACATTACATGTTGTAAGGGACTTTAACTGCAATGATTCAGTGTTGAGTTCACTCTCTCTTCATTAACGCTTGATAGCGTCTAATTTATTGGTGTGAAGAGCAGACCGTTGAGAGTTTAATAACTTGTACACACAATGGTTCAAGGAACTGAACAGACCCTTGTGTTTCTTGTTCTGTTAATTACCACCAGCTTGAAAATTCAGGATGCAAAAGCAAGGCTGACGTCGTGTTTCACCCACCAAATATAGTCAATTCACTTTACAGTAAATTCTGTGAAGCGCTTTGAGACGTCTCAAAGATGTGATAAGACGTTATGTAAGGCGGAATCCTGTAGCTCAGTGGTTAGAGCACTCGCCTTGCAAGCGAGACACCTGGGGTCAATTCCAGGCAGGGCGAAACCTTGGACAAGTTTTTTTACTCCACACGCCTAATAATAATCTCTCCAAAACAAAACAATAATAAATTGGTCATTTTCAATCCACGACTGTTTGTAGGACACTGCTGTGCGCAATTGGCTGCCGCGTTTCGCCCACAAATATACGGTCAATCCACTTTATAGTCTATTCTGTGAAGTGCTTTGAGACGTCGAGAAGACGTGAAAAGCGCTATATCAAATGCAAGGATTATTATTATTATTATGTTGCCTTTGCAGTCCAGTTATAATGCAGAAATTCCATTAGCAGCCGAGATCAGCCTGACACCAACCTGAATTTCATCCCAATAAGACTAGGAAGGAGAAAGCCATTCAGTCCACCCGTCTGATCCAATTAAACCATTTAATCCCATTTCCCTGGCAAATATTAATATATTTGCTCCTCAAGTAACTTTGAGAGGATCAGAGAAGAGCTACAAAGTGAACTTGCTGCCTGTACTTTGAGCTCTAAGTGATGAGGAAGGACTCACAGAACTGAACTTATTTTTTACTGGAGGAGACGTGAATGGGAATGGAGGCTATAGGGAAAGGTGCAGGCTGAAATGAGCAAATACACCACAGTATGGAGTGCTTGAGACATTTGCTTGGAGTTTTTGTTTGATTTATATTATCTTATCTGTGCAGAACCTTTTCCCAGCAGAGAGAAAGTGTTGGGTGAAGGTTGTGATAGGGATTAAGTTCTGCATGATATGTGGAGTGAGGGAGTTTAATGGACAAAATAACCTTCACAGGCTTCACATTCTTTTATGTTCCAATATACCGTTAATGAAGAATTCCTGAGTTCTCAACAAATAGCTTGTTTTGATTCACAACTTCAGTGTTACAGTATTATGCTCCTAAGAATAACTTGAACAGATTGAACGCCTCATGTGGTCCCTTGTAACATTATGTAGAACAGTGTTAAATGATAACTGTAAGATTGCTTCACTGAGTGTTAAATATCTGCAGCACCAAAGACAGAAAGCCTGGATCACTTTGATGTGCTTTATTCTCTATGCACCCTGTAGTCGCTGTCACTAGAGCCCTGATCAAAGCACACAGTCCTTTGATTTCTTGGATAGCTGTAGCTTTCATACAACATGTACAATGGCCAATGTGCTTGAAGATTAGTACATGTATTTAAGGAACTGACTTCAGTATTTCAGAAACAGAACACTGATAATGACATGCAGTCTTCCCCCTACACCCCCCCGCTGCCCCGATATCTAGAGTTAAATAGTGTACATCTGTTACATACTTTTTGCTGAGAGTCTTGTATTCCAAATTACAGTGCTCCTGGACTTTATCCTTCGTGAAAGGCACTCTACAAATGTATGTTGTTGCTGTTGGTCCCAATACCAACAGGACATTTCTTGCAGGTCTACCTGTCCTGTGCTGCTTGTTTCCTCCTTATGTCAGTCTGCCTATGCTCTGTGGAAATGATTGTTTGTTTTGGGGAGTGATGAGGGTATGTGAGAAGTCCTTTTTCTAACTAACTGGAAATGGATTCAGATTGCTTAGTGCTTGCCCATCCGAATGGTGAGGCTAAACAAAATTCACTCGGAATAGGATATGTTTCATAAGTGGTTTATCCACATTTTTTGTGGAGGAGTGCACAGTGGCCTGTAACGATATGCTCCCAACAGTTAGTGTTACATTATTCTGGACATTTGAGGGACACTGTGTTCTCTAGAGTTGAACCCAGGAGAAGAAGAGCTAGATCTGAATAGATTGCAAGGCTAGACATGACCATTGTGACTTTTCAGACTGTTAACCACTACACAGTGAGTAAATAACACATTTCTGCTGCACTTTATCTCATCTCTGCCAAACTGAAAGCATCACTCTTTCTGTCCAATAGTCTTGCCTCCTTTTCAAAATAAGCCTTTATATTTTCATAGGCTGGGTTTCAGTGTGTTAGACTCAGTTAGTACTCTAACCTCAATTATGAATTATACAGCATTTCTTTTATTCTTTTCCCTCTCGCTAATCTTCTCCTTCGTGTTGACTTCTTGATACCTCGCCCAACTAGCTATTCATTGTGTATGAGCTTTGACAGAGGTCATGTGGCATGTTATCCCCAGGCAGTGGGTGCAGTGCAATAAGCCACCTCTCGGCATCACAGAGCAGTAGTTGTAGAACACCTGAAGCCCATTTGGGAAACACGTGATGGAGTTGTACATTTGTTTTCAGATGATCTGAAGGTAGAGTCTAGCAATAAAATCACTGTCAGTGTCTGTGAAGGTGATCAATGCAACTGGTGGCTGGTACACACCTGTCAGGAAAGTATTTAAGGTTACTGCGTTGCACTGTTTAAGTGATGTGAAGTGAGCAAGAGAGTTCCTCCGTTCACCAGTGGACATGAGCAGGTAGCAGGTTGCAGAAACTCTTCAACGTTGCTCTCTTCACTAAACTCTATAAGAGATTGTCCCTATTAATATTTTAGAATACAGTATATGAGTAATTTGAGACATGAGATATAGTAAGTGTAGTATGTTTAGAAGAACCAGGCAACTTTGGATCTAACGTTCCCAAAACATTCCACTGTGTTGGTAGACTAATCCATCCAGAATTCATTGCTATCATTTCCATTATTGTAGCACGCGACTATCAAGGTGGTAGAAGGCGGATTAGATGCACCTTGGTCGTTTTTCATCTAGTAATTCATATGTTTCCATGTTGAGGTTGAAAAAGTACTCGAACAGAAAAGCACTCCAGAAATGGGGTGAGCACTGGAAAAACGCCATGACGTAAAGTGTTGTATGTGCAGGAAAACCAATATACGTCACAAGAATTCTGCTCCGAAGTGATCTTTAGAGTCCATGTGGGCTCCATACTCAAGACGCACTCACACTCGCTCACACCATGTACACCAAGAATAGCCGATTGTGCAAGGTACTAGAGAATGGCTAGTTTCCTCAGAACTGTTCCCCAGCAACCCAGGGTCAACACCTCCAATAGAGGATGGAAGAAAGTAGAAGATTGGAGAGAAAATAGAATTGCCTTTGAGTTAAATATAGCCGTGATTGCTGGTGTGTGGTGTCATTGCTTTCAGCACAATGCAGAAATCGCTTCTCCTTATGCCAAGACCCATAGATAATAATTCTATCTTTCAATTTTCAGGTGCTTCAGAAGTTGGGTAAAGCAGATGAAACTCGAGATGAACAGTTTGAAACATTTGTACAGAACTTCAAAAAGCAGGAGGTAAGCACCACAAATGTTTTCACCCTGGCTGGAGAAGTAGACCTCTAACCTCCAAGAATGGGTACTGTGTTTATAGAGTGCTTTCATTAGCATTAATAATAATAATAATAATCCTTGCATTTGGTATAGCGCTTATACATCATTGAGACGTCTCAAAGAGCTTCACAGAATATACTGTAAAGTGAATTGACTGTATATTTTGTGAGAGCAACGCAGCAGCCAATTGCGCACAGCAGTGTCATGGATTGAGTGACCAAATTATTATTTTTTTTTGAAAGGATTATTACTCCCAGAAAGTGATCAGCCAATCAATCAACAACCAAATTCCTAGTTACTGCTAAGTAAACAGAGTGTAGAGTAAGGAAACTTGCTTAAGGTTTCGCCCCGCCAGGAGATCGAATCCGGGATCTCTCGCTTGTGAGACAAGACTCCACAATGGCAAAAACAGTGGAAATCCCAAACAAACCCGCCTTGTGGAACCTCGCTGCTTAGACTACTTTGAGACGGTGGTTCTGACAACACAGCTATAACACAGTGTCTTTGTATCACTACAGTGCTGAGAGTGATAGCATTTTGTTTCTGGACGGATACCATGGGGCATTTAAAGCCTCTTGTCCGGAAACAAAGTGCAACTGGCAAACAGTCTCAAGAAATTACTTTTATTTTTATAGAACTTGATCAACATGTCTCTACAGGTAATCACTGTCAAGTAGTATTATTATTTTTGTAATCAAAAGCAACAGTCAATTTGATTATAACATTTGATTACATTTATAGAGCAGCCTTTAACAATTAGATAATTATTTGGGAAGGACAAGTTTTTCAGGGCTGTGGGGAGACAACGGGGAGTGGGATTGATTTAGATAGCTCCTTTTAAAGAGCTGGTAACAGACACGATGGGCCGAATGGCCTCCTTCTGTGCTGTATAATTCTGTGATTCTATGAACAGCATATCTTGCATACAAGATCCCACAAGCAGCCATGACTTGAATGATCAATTATGCTGGGCACCCAGAGAAACTGCCCAAATAGTATCATGGGATTTGTGATATCCACCTGAAGAGACAGACGGGAACCTCATTTTAACAACTCAACCGAAGGCATCCATCGATTCTTTTCAAACACTATTTTACATTGATGCTTTAAAAAGAGTATTAATGAGCATGTGGAGTGAGCAGAAGACACTGTTTAGACTTAGGTGACTCGTGAAGAAAAAGAGCAATGTGGACTGAATGACTCGAATGGCTTGTTTCTGTGCTTTAACATTCTTTGATTCAGTGAAAAGTATTGGTACTTTTTAACAAGTTGTGAATAATAGAAGCTCTGTGTCATAAAATAGTTAGTTAGAAAACTGCTTCCCTCTACCCTGGTTTCTTCGGCAGTCAGACAGATGAGGTCAAGCAGTCTGTTCTCTTTAACAGCCACAAGTGATGAGGATCAAACTGCTATTACTTGAATAATGAGATCAAGCACATGTTTGAATGATATGCATTCTCCTTTAAGCTACACAAAGAACTGCTCCCTCATGTCTCCTGTGCCTTATTCAATAAGTGCCATTTGTCTGTACATCCATCTTCTGTACAGTATTGTGCCAACATGTTGTTTGATTAATGTTCAGTACCTGAATGAAGTGAAGCTTAATGACTTACAAATAACATTGCTGGCTGAAGGAAAACAAAACCTATCAATAATGAGGCAATGAAATGAAGGCACATTTGTGTTGTATTCACTGTGATTTATAGGAATTATAGGAAGGTGATGGAATAGATTTCAGCCACATCTGGCATAAATGAGGCTTGAAGAACATGGATTACTTTGGTCATTGCTTCACTCCTTCTCTAGCATGGTGTTTCCTCCTCATATTTCAGCCTCCATACGCTGGACACTGTATTCTTTTCTCTGCTCCTATATCACGGCCCACGCTACTCAGTGGCCAGGTGCAAGCTATGCGGTTTTAGCTAGTCAGACTCCAGCAGAACCCCAACGCACTTTATGGGGTTTCCAAGCTTTGGCTCTTGCCAACTTAAGCCTAATACTTTCCGGAATTAGGTAAGCAGGATGTGTCCCTCCAGAGAGAGAGTGCGTATTCCATTCCAACATTTTATCTCTGGTATTTCCATGTGTAGGTAGGATGCAATGGCAATCTCAGCTTGGTTTGGATAGTCTTAAGCATGGTGATGGATTTCCGCATGTTTCAGACAACCGATTGACCAAAAAAATCAAATCCTTCCAATATACTGTACTGATTCACTGTGGAGAGAAAGGGGCTATCTTGATTATAACATATAACAAAAATTATTATTATTATAACAAAAATTCAACTCTGCTTGAGCTAAATATTATAACTGCCTAGCATTTGGCAGGAATGAGGGGAAAGCTGTATGGAAAAGGCCAGTGGAGCCCCATGGACACTTTGTGTGAATGGCAGATGGAACAGCAAATGAGACTTATATCAGAGCTACGTGAGGGATTAGATTTAGGAGATCAAAGGCCAAACCAGGCTGGTAGTCCCTTCTGTAAGAGACTGCTTGGCTCTTTCATGACAATGTGTCAGGAGGTTTTGCCAGTCGTCAGGCTATTACAGCAGCTTAAGACCGCAATCACTATATCCTCTATTACTGTTCCGTGTCTGGTTCCTTTTTGTATGAGTTAATTAACTGAGAATCATTTGGTTTTATTGGAAGTCTGCTCCGCATGTCCAGTTGCAGTCAGACCGCTGTGCTCACAGGCTCAGCTGCATCAGTAAAGGTAGTCCCAGCCCCACTTTCCATGAACCTGGTGTCCTTCAGACACTGCATCATTAGTCAGTCTGCCCTGCGCTCACAGGTTACAGCTTCATTGGAGAATAAAGTAAGAACAGATGTCTGCTGCCCTTCAAAGCAACACAAAGTGGAACATTTTCAGCAACAGTTCTTTGACAGGATCCTCGAGGACATTAACTTTACATGTGAAGACACTTTGTAAAAGAATCACAGAACATTTATGACCCAAAAGGAGGCCATTCTGCCTGTCATATTCTATTGATGCTGGCTCCCCCACTGAGCATACAGATTTATTCTCATCCTGATCTACTGCTCTTTCTTCAAAAGCTTTAATATTTTTCCTTAAGTGCTTATCTAAGTTCACCACGGTAAGATTCTCCAAACATCCATGTATCTATGACATGTTGGAGACTATATAGTGACAACTGGAAATTTGAGCATGAAGATATAGTAATAATGATAATCATTGCATTTGATATAGCACCTTATCACATTGTTGAGACGTCTGAAAGCACTTCACAGAATATACTGTAAAGTAAATTGACTGTATATTTTGTGGGTGAAACGCAGCAGCCCAAACAAATCTGAGTGTAATTCTCTGCTGGTGGTAAACTTGTCAACATTGTGCCTGAAATTTCTCATAGTTTTAGCCTCAAGACCATTGTCTTAAAATGTCTAGCTTGCGCAGAATTTGCACAGTTCTTTTTTAATAAGTCAAGAAAGCTCACTTGAAAATTAAGACTGAATAATCTTCCAAAGTTCTGTGCAGTCTTAACTTTTAAGCCTACGACTGTGAGAAATCCCGGGCCTCTGATCCTCCACTAGCTGATGAATTCCATCATGTGGTTGGCTGCAGTAATGGTGGAGGAGAAGCTGCTGTCTGCGACCTGAGTTTAAACTATACACATAAAGGTTTTATTCCCCTGGTAGCTGCGTTCTAATGCAAGCTCCGGTTAGGTGAGCCGAACTCCCTTTCCCTTCCCCTTAATCACTTCTTCCACTCTTTATCTATCTTTAAATCCTGTCTTAATATCTACCTCTTCAACATTGCATATGGTCATCTCCACCTTCGCCCTCAACCCTCTTCCTTGCTCGGCATCCAAACCCATCTTTATACAATGCTCTGAGCTGTTACCCTACAGGGGTTTTGGTAGAGTAGATAGAATCATTCGGCCAATCGTGCCTGCGTCGGCTCTTTGGAAGAGCTACCCAATCAGTCCCACTCTCCTGCTCTTTCCCAATATCCTTGCAACTTTTTTCCTTTTCAAGTACCTATCTAATTCCCTTCTGAAAGTTATCATTGAATCTGTTCCCACCGCCCTTTCAGGCAATGCATTCCAGACCGTAATAACTGTCTGCGTAAAAAAATTCTCCTCATTTCCCCTCTCGTCCTTTTACAAATTATCTTACATCTATGTCCAATGGTTACTGACCCACAGTGCTAGTGGAAACAGTTTTTCCCTATCAACTCTATCAAAACCCCTCATAATTTTAAACAACTCTCTTAAATCTCCCCTTAGCCTTCTCTGCTCTAAGGAGAACAACCCCATCTTCTCTAGTCTTTACACATAACTAAAGTCCCTCATCCCTGGTATCATTCTGGTAAATCTCCTTAGCACAGAGTTGGACACAATACTCCAGCTGAGGCCTAACCAGTGACTTAGAAAGGTTCAGCAGAACTTCCTTGCTTTTGTACTCTATATGCCTCTATTTATAAAGCCAAGGATCCCATATGCTTTTTTGACAGCTCTATCAACCTGTCCTGACACCTTCAAAGACCTGTGTATGTGAACCCCCAGGTCTCTCTGCTCTGCCCCCTTTAAAACTGTACCGTTTATTGTATATTACCTCTCCTCATTCTTCCTCCCAAAATGCATCAACTCGCACGTCTCTGCATTAAACTTCAGGCCATAGGTAGAAACTGTTTGCTGTGGGTGGGTTGGTAACCAGAGGACACAGATTTAAGATAATTGGCAAAAGAACCAGAGGGGAGACGAGGAGATTTTTTTTTACCCAGAGTTATTACGATCTGGAATGCTACCTGAAAGGGTGATGGAAGCAGATTCAATAGTAGCTTTCAAAAGGGAATTGGTTACGTGCTTAAGCAGAAAAAAAATGCAGGACTAGCTCTTTCAAAGAGCTGGCACAAGCACGTGGGCTGAATGGCCTTCTCCTGTGCTGTAAGATTCTATGAAGGGCACTATTTAATTACAAGTTGTTGATGTTGACCTGACGTATTAAATGACCTGCAGTCCATCCAAATTTCCGCAACATTTTATGAAAGGTGAATTGATGAATAACTGGATAAGTGTGATTTCAATTATCCTAAAAGTGTGGATCAGTTTGGCTTTCATCCTGCAATTTTATTAAGTGGGTTTTGCATTTGACAATGAAGAATTCAATTTCAGGCACTCGAAGCCAACTTGGAACCCTAAACTCGAAATGAAGCCGGATGTTCACTTGCAGCACTGCGCACCATTGGCACTTAGAATAAAGTATGGCAGAACTCCACAAGGACAAACTCCACATGGACATAGAAAATATTATTGTTGGCCTTTTTTCATATTCCTCATGAGGTTCTTCACATGGTGCAACTTCCGATCACTTTCCATACTGCAACGTTTCATGTTAGACTAGGCAGATTGACGTACCAGTTGGTTAAAGGGTTCTCTGGGTTCAAATTCCAGTGGGGGCTGCTTAATCCTTCAAAAACAATCTCTGGGGTGAGGAGAAGCCTCCCTTGCTTGGAGAAAAGTTTCCTTGGAAAGCTGGGCAGAATCTACAGATTTCCATAGTGCTGCTGCTATTGGCATGTCCTAACACTCACAGTTATAGGTTTAAACTGGACAAGTAATGTGGAATGGTTACCATTACCTGCAGTAGGTGTCAGCCTGCCTCAGTTGGTAGCACCATCGCCTCTGAGTCAGGTTTTCAGTGCTTTGGGTTGCTCTCCTGACTTGAAAAGTGCTATACAAATGTAATTCGTTGTTGCTGTTGTCAGGACCTTGCACATTCATAGTCTAGGTATCACTTCAGTGCAATGCTGATTGTTCGATGTGCCATCCTTTCGATGTCATGTAAAACCAAGGTTCTGGCTGCCTGTTCAGGTAGACATGAAAGATCCCATGGAACAACTGCCCTGACCAACAATCCCCTGATGAAAATTAGTCATTCACTTCACGGCTATTTGAGGGAAATTCCTGTCTGCAAATTGGCCGCTGTCTTCGCCAACAAAATACTCAGTCACTACATTTTACAGTATATCCAGTTCTTTGGAATGTCCTCCTGATATGGAAGGCGCAAGGATAATTTTAAGAATGGGTGATAATAATCCTTACATTTTGTATAGTGCCTTTCATGTCAATAGGATATCTCAAATCACTTTGCAATATTTAACTGATGTGGAGCTTGATATCACAACCTTCTTGTAACAACTGCTACAGAAGAAGTAGTTTTGTGCTCTATCTTGGAGTCCTGTAGCTTAGTGGTTAGAGCACTTGCCTCACAATCGAGAGGACCTGGGTTTGATTTCTGTTTACGTAGCAGTAAGTAAAAACCTAGTTGTCATTTGATTGCCGGATCGCTTTTCTGGGGGTAATAATTCCTTCAAACTAAATAAAATTAATCACTCAATCCACAACTGTTTGTGGGACACTGCTGTGTGCAACTGCCTGCCACATATCTCCCACAAAATATACAGTCAATTCATTTTACAGTATATTCTGTTAAGTGCTTTGAGACGTATCGAACACGTAATAAGGTGCTATATCAAATGCAAGGATTATTATTATATTATTGTTTTTAAGTTCAAATTCAGCTTCCAGACATTCTGGAATAGCAGTAATTTATATAGAATATATTTCGTTGTAATTCTTTTCTTATTTTTAAAATTACAATTATTCCCCAATAATAGCATGAATCATACAATACATTGCACCAGGAGATAAACCTCAATAAAGATTTCATGTAATTTTACAAAAATGTTGGCATTTACAATTTTTAAGAAAGATTTTTAATTGTTGCATTGCTGACTAGGATATTAAAAAGTGAATTGCTTTCCTGATGGTTTCTTTATTGTGTTCTTTTTTCAGACTGAAGGCAGTCGACTACAGAGAGAATTACGAGGTTACCTAGCAGCAGTGAAAGGTTAAAATATTTTCCCTATCTTTTATTTTGTGATCTACGTGCCTGACACAGAATTCCTACGTACTTGTTCAACACAGTTTCTGCACTCAGTAGCTTGAGTGACTGTTTCTGATCTATAGTTTTATACTTTCAGAGCTTTGACTGGCAAATTATACAACAACTTGCACTTATATGGCATCTTTCAATAGTGGAACATCTCAAAGTCTTGTACAACGACAGAGTGAGAGTCTCCCATGCAGCTCGGGAGATACTGGTTAGATGGAAGGTGACTGAAAATGTAGTTCTTTAGAAGAGGGAGTGAGGTGGAAGGATTTAAGGAAAGTGTTTAGAAAGGGCATTAGCCCTTTTCACATCATCTGGTTCTCCGTCCCCAACCACTCCATCTCACTCCCTCTCTTTCTGTCTTTAAGTCCTGCCTCAAATCCTATCCAAACACCTTTGGCCCCCTAACTTTTCTTTCCACCCTCTCCCTTGCTCAGTATCCAAACCTGACGATATGAAGCGCTTGTAGACATTATTTTGTGTGCCAGTTAGTGCAGAGGAGAGCAATGAAGATGATCCCCAGTGTTAGAGGAGTGAGCTATGAGCAAAGATTAGACAAAAAGTACTCTTCAGTCTTGAGAAAAGACGGCTCAGAATGGGATCTCACATGTTTTGAATTTTAAATGGGATTGAAAAGTATACCCAGATCAATACTTTAAGATGTAACAAGACAGTCGAACAAGAGGTCAGAGGTTCTCCTTACAGAGAGGGCAATCAACAACTGGAATAGGTAGCCAGGGAAGGTGGTTGAGGCCGGCACACTGAACTCATTACAAAACAGCTGGATTCTTTGATGGGGTAAATGTTATGGACGATGAGATAAGATAAGGTTTCTCTTCGTCCGAGCCAATCATGAAATCTTGTGAAATGACGCTATACAAATACAAGTTGTTGTTTGTTGTTGCTTGTCTTGATCTTAGCTTTTGGCTCCAGATTCTCTAGATAAGAACAAGAGATGTCTACAGGTGGTAACCCCAGGTCTTTATTATTAGGACCAAAGGGGCAAAGGCTCTCGTGAAGCTCTGCTCAAGGAGAAAGCAAATCTTTTTCAGTCATTAGTATCTGATTTTTGGAATTTGAAGCAATGTGATTTATGTAGCAGCTTGGAAGAACCTGAGGAGCGGTTACCATAGTAACCCCATCACCCAAGGACACAGCCCATATGCTGCCTCTGCGGCTGAACTAGTATCATGATATCCGGAAATTTGACTTGAAAGATCACTTTAAAATGAGTCTCTTGGTCTTTTCTGCACTGCAGAAGTAAATGGAAGTGTCAGAGAGCATCAAAATAGCAATACAATTGTAACCTCCAATAGATATTTGACATTAAAATAAAAAATATATAAATTTGATATAATGTCTTTGACATCAGGAGGACATCTCAAAATACTTCACAGAATATAATGTAAAGTGCAGTGACTGTGTATTTCATTGGCAAATGCTGGCAGCCAATTTGCACATAGCATTGTCCTACAAACAGTGATTGTGTGAATGACAAGTTTTATTTAGGGCATTTTTGGCCAGGAGAAACTCCCTTCTTACAGCCAGGAGCACAGTCACAACTTCTACCTGCTGCCACAACAGAGTGAAAATTGTGAAAAATGTCAAACTTGAATCTTAATTTGGAAGACAGTTTTCCGCTGTTCTTAAAAAAAATAAATCTTCCAAATTGCAATTGAATTTAAAAACTTTCTACAATTCTTCACAGTGAATTTTAAAAGTGCCCTACAGGCTAAAACTATTTGGAATTTCAGGTGTATAATTATCCAAGGTTTTTCTCACTGTTTGTGATCACAGACATTGAGCACGAACCACACTCACAGTAGATCTGTTTCACCTCTTCAGGCATGCAGGAAGCCTCCACGAAGCTCACAGAGTCACTACACGAGGTCTATGAGCCTGAATGGTATGGCAAAGATGACATTAAAACTGTTGGGACGGTAAGTATAAACACAAGGACTTTCTGAAGAAAGATTCCCAGAGGGCCACTAAGATCTCTGCCATTTCTTTTACCTGCTCCCAAACTGTTGGCTGCATTTGACACTTGGGCTCCCGTTAGCTGGTCATTAAACACTGCTGTATCTCTGATCAAGTTGCCACTTTCTGCTATTTAAAAAAAAATTCCCTCTGTTTTCCAGCTGGTCAGCTCATGAGCAAAACGGACTGACTAGCTGGAAACTAGCTGGGTGGTGACTTTCACTTTCCACTGGGAATTCTGAAAACAACATGCTTCTTTTAAGAGACAAAGATGAAAACTGTAACTAATGCACAAATAAATGGTGTAGGTCAGTGGCACTGAGAACAATGGCGGCGTAATATTATAACCAATGTGCAATAACACAAATATCTAATTACAGGAAAGTGTACAGCATGTGGCGCTGAGGTTAGACAAAGAGAAACCATTCCAAGGACATACCTCTCCGTATCATTGGCAGTTTGCATATCTAGTGCAATCTGAAGAATGATTTCTTATACTAAGACTGCCAGATTTCTCTTGACTTCATACGCAAATCTTACCAGCTTCATGTCCCCTTTGCTTTCACTGGAACAAGGAAATTAGTTGATTGGGGCTTAAAGCTTTGGGGAATAAACTGAGTTGCAGAAACAATCTTCACTGGAGCATTACCACCTTGCTGCCCAAGGAAGGTGCATGCTGTGAAAGATGTTCTCTCTCTCTCTCATCAAAACTAGTCAGTGATTTTCTTGATTTTTATTTCAAAGACTTTCTAATATGTCACAGCAAACAAAGGACAATTTTAGGACAAACATCTAGAAGTACTTCCTTTACACAGAAGATTCTCAACAACTGGAACAGGTTACCAGGAAGAGTGGTTGAGGCCATGACACCAGACCCTTTCAACAAATGGCTTGATGCTGTGATGGGGATAGAGGGATAATGGGACAGTGGTCTGGGTATATTAGAAGGATGAGATCAAAAGGGCTGAAGAGCCTTCTTCATCCAAAACAATCTTGCAATGTGACAGTTGACACCATGAGCACTACGCCATTAAATAATGCTAATAATCCTTGCATTTGATTATAGAGCCATAGAAGTGTATTCCACTGCTAACAGGCATATGAGAGCCAAGTATTTTTTTACATTGTACAGCTGCAGATAATTGCTTGACAAATATGGCAGATTAATATATAAGAGATGAGTTATCAGATCAGCCACATGTGAAATATAAATAATATCCCACAGCTCTTCATCATGTAACCATTATGTACTGGAAACTTGTAATGTTAAAGTATGGCATGCACTGTTTCAGTAAAAGTTTCCTATGGATATTCACTTTTCTGCTCTTGAGTATTTCTGGGTTTAGCTATGAAACCATCTATTTTGGCCATTGCAAAATCTGAACTGTTCTTTACTTTCCAGCACTCTGACTCACTATGGGCAGACTTCCATCAGAAGGTGGTGGATCAGTCTTTGTTAACCCTGGACACATATCTGGGCCAATTTCCTGATATCAAGGTATTTTTTGACACATTGTTTTAAACCAATACTTATGGCTTAAGTATATATATATGCACATTAATTGTATATTTATTTGCCTGTATGTTTACCTATATTCTGCTTAGTGTATATGTGCTATAGCTATGCATATTCAGTATATACCCCATTAAGTGTATACTTTTTTATCTTCAGTATAACTTGTTACATATACCTGGACTTCCAAAAGCGATTGAAAAAATACAACATGAAAGATTATTTCACAGACTGATGTCTCTGAGTATCCAGAGCAAGACATGGATTCAAAATGTGCAGAAAGGAAGCAAGCAGAGGGTAATTGTTAGGAGAGAAATGTAAATATGAAACGGGCATTAAGCAGGGTGCCTCAGGGGGTCTGTATTAGGTCCCCTCTTGTTCCTAGGATTCACAGACCCAGTGTAACATAGGTAAAACTGCCAGATGACACCAAGTCTTAATTGTTGAATCAGATGAGGCAGCAAAAGAGTTGCAAAGAGAGCTTGATAGGTATGTGTATCGGCTGATGACTTGTAAAAGAAGTTTAATATAGAGGCCCATGTACTCCATAGTTGCAGTAGAAAGAGATCTAGGCATGTTAGTTCACTCATCACCTCACCATATGTGAGATAGTTATAAACAAATAAAGTGGGTCATGATAAAGCTGTGTAGTGCTGTGGTCAGGCTACATCTAGAGTACTGCATACAGTTTTGATCGCAGCGACATAAGGTTGCTTTCCTGCCCTCTCAGGATTGCAGAGGAGTATGACAAAGATAACCAGTATGGGAACTGTAGCTGATTTTACACTCCGTAACTTGGGAACATGAATTGAACTTGCTATTGACTCCTCTGCTTGACTTTGTGGACACTCTGTGAACTTTTAAAGTGTTCGTGTAAGTTCTTTAAACACTTCTCATTATAAGTTCTAAGTTATCTGCCAAGGCTTGAGAAGTTACTGACCAGTGGAAATAAAGATGCACTCACGAGCCAAGCAACGTAATACTCACAAAATTGGGGTAGTAGAGGGTTTGAAATTTATAGTTGTGTTACACATAGCGCTATTGGCAATATCCAAAATAGAATTTCCCCATTATAATCACACATTGCCAAAGTTACCTCTAACATCAAATGAAATTTCAGACCATAAGTACTTATTATAGCTACAATACTTGTATAATTATAGCATTAGTATCTCCCCATCCAATAGCAATGAAATTTATATGATACTAAATATATCCCTTGTGTTTGATTTTTTGATTCTGTAAGTTACTAAAATGTTATATTCACTGAAGAAATATTCGGTGTGTCTTAACACAATTGCTTAATAAGCAATCGGAGCAGTACAAAGGAGTACCCCTTCCTATAACCAAAATTCCATCACACTGACATCCGGAATATGGATCAATTGGAAACTGATGGGATTCCTTAATGTTAAATGCCCCAAATTAAACCCGATTGAATATTGTGGTCAGTAAATTGCACATTTTTTCCAATTTGAAAGGTTCATTACAAAGTTTATTCTTGAAGTTTTCAAATTAGGAGGCATTTATTGTGAATTGTCTAGTACAATACAATGCAGAATTACATTTGTATAGTACCTTTCACATCGGGAGGACGTCCTAAGGTGCTGGACAGTCAGGGATTTGGACCTGAGCTGTGGATCGGGGAGGGTGGAGGTTAGGAGGGTGGCTGAAGGCTCGGTCGAAGAGGAGGGTTTTGAGACGTGCCTTGAAGGAGGGCAAGGGAGGGAGCGAGGCGAAGGGAATGTGGGATGGCGTTCCATAGGGTGGGGGCAGAAAGGCTGAAGGCCCGATCGTTGATGGTGGGGCGGGCCAGGCGGGGGACAAGGAGCAGGTCACAGCCAGCTGAGCAGAGGGAGTGGACAGGTTGAACTCTATCCTCTGGTGAATGAGAAGCCAGTGGAGCCGGGAGAGGGTGGGGGTGATGGCGTCACAGAGCCTGGTACGGGAGAGGACACGAGCATAATAGCAATCCTTGCATTTGATATAGCGCCTTATCTGTCGTTCAGCCACTGTGTCTGAGCAGCTGCAGAACTGCATCTAACCTTTCTAGAGTTGCGAGTTCACATGAGTCTGACATCTGTCATTCAGGCTTCAAACTGATTTCTCGGAGACGCTGTGCTCAGTTCCTGCCAATCTGGTGCTCTCAGTCTTCTATCTGCTGTTCATTAATATCAGTAGACGACTTGCAAAAGGGAAAGAACTTATGTTCCTATGGAAACAGATATGATGAGATACTAATTCTACTGTTATTTCCTTTCTCACCTCAAACAGACTCGCATTGCAAAGCGTAGCAGGAAGCTGGTGGACTATGACTGTGCGAGACATCACTTAGAATCTCTGCAGCACTCAAGACGAAAAGATGACTCCAAGCTCACTAAGGTGGCTGCTGAGAGGATTTGTGCTTTCAGTGTTAATGGTTTGGACTTTCATTTATAGTATCTGACTGACAGATGCTCGTATATTTTAGGCTTGATGTACAAACGGATTATGAAATTGCGTTTATTAAATGCTGTAAATAGGTTTCCAGTCAATATTTATCACCATGTTCAGCAAGTACCCCTGCCCCTGCTATGTGTGTTCGGGTCAGCCAAGGTAGGAATATGACTCAGTTGTCACAAAGGTTGTACATGCTGCTCACCCAGCAAAAGCTAATGCTACAGTTCTTGGTAATTGACCTTTTCTAATTTTCCACTCTCCTTTAGTGTGCTGGAAGTATCAGTGAGGGAGCAAATGAGATTCAGGAAAATACAAGATATAGTTTGGGACATGACATGTGCATGTGACTGCCAGGATGGTGGAAGGCGAACTGGATGGACCTTGGTCATCTTTCGTCTAGCAATTCTTATGTTCCTATGGAAATGATGCCTGAGAGCATGGAAGGTCAGGAATAATCAGGATGGAGTCTAGCAAAGATGGGAAACTGATTTTCCACAGTTCTTTAAATACTTCCACTTCCAAGTTATGACATAATTTAGGAACGGTTTAAAAATTTCTTAGGATCTTAAATTTTAATCCAGTAATTTTAAGCCTAAAAACATGAGAAATGTTGGCTCCTGAGCTGAAACGTTTGGATTTTGCTATCTCTCATTCCATTTAGATGTCCAGGTTCCTCACCTGTGATTGACTTTTAAATACAGGAACTCATTGTGACTGTGAAACATTTTATCTTATAAAGATACTCCACCGTGCAGTACACAGCTTATCCCATTACTCATCAGTAAACAGGATCTGCTTAATTCAGCATGGCAAGATTTCCATCCACTTCTGCCCTTCAAATGAATTTCTTTCTGAACAGGATCCTTTACAATGTCTTACCTCCTTACATGTCCTCTATAATATCTTATGCCCTTGCATTGATTTTCTGAACCCAGTGAATCACACTCTGAGGTCTGTTGTATGTTGATCGCTCAAAACAGTGATGCTTTCATCACTACTATTAGACCAATGTGTTAGGAGTATTTAAACTCATGAAAAACCCGGGATTCGCACATTGCTTCAGCAGCTGGTACACTGACGACTGACTGTATTAACAAGGGAAACTGCACAGTCTTGTGAGATTGTGTGACTCAAAAATAATGCAAAATGGATGAATCTCACTTTTGATATTTGCGGAATGATTAACATTGTTCACTGCTAGACTTTGATCTTGCTGTTAAAAATGCAGGTTCTCCCCTTGTGTTTTTATACGCCTGAATGATCACCAGGAGAGGCAAAGAACCTGGAACACCAAAGGGGCGATCATTGTGTATGTTTCCCAATGACTGTATGTAGGCTGCTCAGTAGGTGTGGGTGGAGTGAACCCACAGAAAACGCAGCTAAAATGAAAGCTTTGCTCTTGCTCTTTTTTAGGCAGAAGAGGAGTTTCAAAAGGCACAGAAGGTCTTTGAAGATCTAAATAATGACCTACAAGATGAGCTGCCGGCATTGTGGACCAGGTATTGTACTCCACATTCTTATGATGCTCTGTTGTGATTCAGGAAACATACAACTTGTGGTTCAAAATCAACAAAATATTAGCTTCTTCCAGTTGTCCTGGATGGACAAGCAATGAGAAGCTTGCAAGCCAAAGCCTTAATAGTGAGGATCATCCTACTTGTTAGGGGCTTTGGCTTGCAGGGTTAACAGGTGCTTAGTGGGATGACTCCCTGCCCGCAGTGACTGGTCTGCCCATTCAGGTCCTGTCGATGTGCCAGGCTGGCTGTGCTGTCAGCAGCAGCACCCTGGAGAACTGCAGACCCGCCTGGCTCAGGAACTGGAATACTGATATGGCCACAGAGGGTAGATTTGATTCTGAAATTCCTTCAGCAAATATGTCACTTTGGAGCCAGTTCATTTCCAGAGATCCTGTTTACTTTCCCCTCCAAGGAGGTGTTTGAGCCCTCTTGAGGTGGATGGCAACTACCAGCAACTCCCTATGAGCTTCCTAGTGGGCAATATAGATCAGCATGAAATCCATGGGACTATTGCTACCATCTTTCTATCCACAGTTTGGGCACATGTCCCTTCCCATTGAGTGATGGTTCCACCAGTTGGAGGTGCAGAGCTTGAGCAGAAGCTTCTTACCTCTCTGCAAATCAATCAAGGTGGATTCCAACCCCTGGATGTATGAATGTGTTCCTGAACCTGGACTCCTGTCACCTCATGCCTCAGAGCTTCCTTATCAGTGTGGTGAGAGGACCTTTTACAGGATGCCTTGTGACGTGCCGCCAGATGTTCTCAAGGTCTAAGTCCAATGCCCTATACCAGGCTTACTCAGCACCAGCTGCTTAATCCAGGTCCTCATGCGAGGGGTCTTGGCAAATAGACATGCCTACTGTGAATCCGTTTCTGCCTCCAGGGTGCTCAGTGACAGGTCAGTGTAGGCCGGAGTCTTTCCTCCCTGCAGCCTCTTCCCATGTTTACCACAAGCCCACCTCACTGTATCTGCCTGAATGTCTGTGTTCTCTTTCCTAGCCGGGTCGGTTTCTATGTGAACACCTTCAAAAACATTTCGTGTATAGAGTCGAAATTTCACAAGGAGATTGCAGTGGTGAGTAGACATCTCAGGTTCAAGTACTATGGTGATGGCTTCTCAAAGGGCTACTGTTTGCTCCTTATCGTAGGTTTTAAATCAGTAGTCTGACAGTTTGCAGTCTATAAATACACATAAGTTCACGTACTGTCAATGGGTGGAGGGGATTTAGTTTTGCGCATTCTTAAGACTAAATTCACTAATATTGAGTCAGCTCAATTTTGCTCCGACAGATAAATTCTACAAAACTAATCCCTGGGCACTTCAGAGTAGCTGTAATGCAATTTTCGCTTATAAATAGCATTGCATTATGATTGTAAATTTTAATTATATATTTATAAAATAGCGTTAGTTCTTTCTAAAACTACAGAGCCAAATTTTCAAAACTTGCCAAACGCAGTTGATTAGGTGTTGTCTCATATTAATAAGTTTGCTTCACAGCTCTTCCACAACACACTTAAGAAATGCTGCAAATTAGATACCATAATAACTCACATTATTATGCAAAATGGTTATTGAAAACAAAGTTTGACAAGCGCTTTCTTATGAGTATGATGCCCTTTTAATTTAGGCTTCTTACCAGTTGATGGAGCCAGGCTAGAAAAACAACAGATGTTCTGCAGGAGCATCAGAGGCTGAATTTTGCACCATACCAAGTTGATGGCAACGTAGTATGGCCGTAATTCAGTCTGTGCCAACTGTGAGTGACTGTCTGCCATGAAGCCACATCCTCTACCAGTATGAGAGCGCCGTCTCTTGCACTGACTGCTGGGCATCTACTGCAGTGCCATCAGTACACAAAGCCAGTGAACAGCAGCAACAGCAGCACTTTAAAGCTAGCAGGAGATGCCATTGGCTGGAAGCAAAAAAATAAACTTCCAATAAAAAATTTTTTCATTCAAACTTGAATGAAAGTCAGTTCACTTTTTCAATGACATGAACTGATGTTTGTCGTTAAATAAAAACAGTGGCATTCCCACAAAGGTGTGAAGGATTCCTGGTTAACGTAAAAATAATAATAATAATCCTTGCATTTTGATATAGCGCTTTATCACATCTTCGAGACGCCTCAACACTCGTCACAGAATACAATGTAAAGTGAATTGACTGTATATTTTGTGGGACTGTACATTTGCATGACTTAGATTCCTTATTGAGTAATTGAATTAATGAAGGACCGCAAATTAGGGCTTGTTGGGCATGGGCACACCACCAACAACAACAAAGTTACATTTGTATAGCGCCTTTCACGTCAGGAGGACGTCCCAAGGCGCTGGACAGACAGAGGTTCGCCACCATTGTGACAAAAACTACACTCTTTTTCCTGTCTCAAGCAGAAGACGATTGCCAGTGTCTTTTTTTGATGTAAATGGTGCCCTTTCTAAACTACAAAGCGAGCTAGCCTTTGACACCTTCCACAGCACCTCGATAATATAATACAAGATTAAATATTCTCATTCCAACTGATCTGTGGGAGCTCCTGTTCTGGTGGGATAAGTTTTCGGAGCTCTGTTCCCACGGGTCGGAGTGACGTATTGCCAGTTACCAGAAAGAGTTCACGTTTGCGACTCGTGTTCTTTTTTAAAGCATCGCATCACCAATCGCTACAAGTTGGACCTTGATACACGCAGTACTGTGCCTAGGTGTGGAGGCCATTCTTGGAATAGATATGGGAGCATTTGAAAGGGTTACAAGAAGAGCAATGGAAATGAGTCCAGATTTTAGAAAAACGATAGGTAGAGGAGACCATTGGAACGCAGGTGAGATTAGCTCCATTTAAGGAAATTTAACTCAGGGAATTCCCTGATCCCTAATATAACCGTGTTCCCGACTTACATGAAGAAACTGGCTCTTTAAAGGCTGTCTCCTGTGGGGGTGGTGGCACAGGTTATAAAAGAGCTGTATTTTTTCCTCTCTGCACACTCTGTGTACCAGAATCATTATTTTGGGCAAAGCAGTATGCTGCTTCCTCTCAACGTTTATCACATTTGCCCCCATTACACTTGTAAGCTAAGTAAAGAGGACAGATGAACACTCTTGTACAGTGATACAGGTATACTTTGAAAATAGTCCAAATGAAAGGAAACAATGCTCTGACTCATTCATTCAGTTATTCAGTCTCGAGCATGGTATATTGATGAATTGACATTTGTTCTTGTTTTCTAGCTCTGCCATAAGCTGTATGAAATAATGAGTAAACTTGGAGAGCAGCACGCTGACAAGGCATTTACAATTCAAGGAGCACCCAGGTACTGTGCTACAACTGTAATTAATTGTGCAATGAAACTCACAATATTAACTGCTCATTTTACTTTAACGCACACCACTTGATTGTACAATATCCACTATTCTCATACAATGGCTGTCCCGTGTCTTGTGCTTTTTATTGGAAAACATAACACCGGAACAAGATGTTTTCTTAAGTTTTCACCCAGCGCATCATGCCTTGTCCATCAGCTTTATTCAGTCTTGGCTGATCTTTTAAACCAGTGCCTCTCCCTTTCTCTATACCTCTAAATGCAATACATCTTCATGTTTCGCCCACAAAATATAGTCAATTTACTTTACAGTAAATTCTGTGAATCGCTTTGAGACATCTCAATAACATTATAAGACTACGGTATATCAAATGCAAGGATTATTATTATACATATAATACCCAAGTATCTGTCTATGTCTCTTTTAAATGCCTATATTGATCTCACTGCTACAACTTTGTGAGGCAGAGAATTCCACATCTGCACAACCCTCTAGTGTGTGAAGGACTGCTCACTGACCCCAGCACTAAATTTAAGGCAATTCACGTTCTGTGAGGCTGTCTGCCTTTATATACCCCAGCATTGTCACCTTTTTGTTCTCATTTATTACAATGCAGGTTTTAATCAAGTCACTTATGCATATCATAATTACTCATAGGAAAACAATCAATATTTAATATTAGATTAATTGTACAGTTAGTGCGCAATAGGAGTCTTGTTATTTGGTACATGTACAATCTCATCAGTTTGTGGATGAGATTCTACTGGGGTCTATCATTTGAGGAGCGCTATAAATAATCTTTTCATGTTTGACGGAAAATCCCATTATATAGAGTCTGCACCAATAGATGGCTATTTTTAGCAGTCAGTCCACAATAGACCCCATTATCTGCCAGTGAAGGCAATTTCATTCTGCAACGTGCATGATTGCTCCCCAGTTAATGCCTGCACATGCACAGGATGTATTGCTACTGTTTATTATATAATGTGTATGTTTCCAATCAAAGTGCAGGCATCATATCCTACCGCAACTTCCCTCCCCTTGCCCCTATCTCTCATCTAACTCAGCATCTCATTTGAGATATTCTCTCTATAAAAAGTCAGAACTAATATAATAATATAAGTGCTATATAAATGCAAATTGTTGATAAATTCATATCCCCTCCCTTGCACAATCCAGTTCTTCATCCTGGAATTGGGTTAATGATGCCATGGGAAACATTCCACGGATGTTTATTCCCCACTTTTTTCAGCTCACTTGCAGTTCCTATCAGTGCAGCAGCACTGCACTACTTTTGTATATTTGCTCCGCTTTTCTGATTCACAAGAAAAACTATTAACGGTACATCTTTTCAGAGAAGGGTTTTAAATCATGAGCTAATTTTAAGAAAAACTCTCAGAAAATTGTATTGCAGCATGACAGATAGTGTTCTACAATTAAATATTCTATAAAAGATTAAGAACTGTAACATTTGAAATAGATCGCACTTGGACACACAAAATATTGTTACAGACAAGATAATCTATGAATAAAATGTAACAATAAGTGTAGTAATAAAACATTAAAAGTTAAAATCTTCATTCAGAAGCTACCAACAAATGATTTGTTGACTCTCGTTCACAATCCTCCTGGGTACTCAGCTTCAAAGTACTTTAGATCCTTTTAAGGTTGTAGTGAGGAAGATTGTTGTTTTAAGTTGTTAGTCGATGGATTTAATGAACTGTTTGCTACTGTCTCACACTGTTTGCTGCTACTGCTGACTAGAAGGCGAAGGTAAGATGGAATCTGTGCTTTAGAGCAGCTAGCACTTGTCATGATTAGCTTTTAGTCAGAGGCATGATTGTGGGAAGGACACCAAATCATGTCCTTTAGTCTTCCCAAAAACGCTTGGCCACAGACTTCTGTCGTAGATTGTTGACTATACAAATCTTAGATGAAACATATTTCAATGTCAGCTTGATAAATCTTATGAGTATTTAATAGCGCTACTGCAGACATTAATCTTGTTGTTTTAATTTGAAGTTGTGTGTTTAACTAAATAACCTCCATTATTATTGCTTTTTACTGAGAAGATAATTACATTCATATTAATGGGGTCCATTATGTGTGTGTTTCCAAAGGGATTCTTTAATTATAGACACAATATTCTGACTCGTGGGATCTCCACTCTGCTTCAACAACTCTACTTTTGAAGCTGGGTTTCTGGGGTTGACATGATGTATATGTTGCACTTCCATTAGAAATCATCACATATTACACCCCAGTGTTTGGTTCAAAAGACAAGATTCACTTCCACCCCTCAGTTTGTGTGTTTCAAAATAGGAGATGTGTCACTTAAAAGATTGATGACATGACTGCCCTTCCTTGGTCTGTTCCATATTTTGTTCTTGTCACTGTCAATGGATGCAATATAATACAAAATTACATTTGTGAAGTGCCTTTCGCACCAGGAGGACATCCTAAGGTGCTGGGCAGTCAGGGATTTGGACTTTTTTGGACCCAAGCTGGGGGTCGGATTCAGGGAGGGTGGAGGGCAGGGAGGGTAGAAGGGTGACTGAAGTCTCAGTCGAAGAGGAGGGTTTTGAGACATGCCTTGAAGGAGGCAAGGGAGGGAACAAGGCGAAGGGAATGTGGAATGGAGTTCCATAGGATGGGAGCAGAAATGCTGAAGGTCTGTCCGCCGATGGCCGGCCGAGCGGGGAATGTAGGGCAGGCCAGAGCCTGCTGAGTAGAGGGAGCAGACTGGTTGATATGGGGTCAGCAGGTCGCAGAGGTAGGGCGGGCCAAGGCCATGGCAGGCCGTGAAGGCAAGGACAAGGTTTTTGAATGCTATCCTCTGGTGGATGAGGAGCCAGTGGAGCCAGACGAGGGTGGGGGCGAAAACCACACAGTCAAAACCCCTTTATATACACATGACTACATGAATACCTCAACTCAATGTAAATACATCACCATGTAAAGTATATAATAATAATAATAATAATTCTTGCATTTGATGTAGCATCTTATCAAGTCATTGAGATATCTCAAAGCGCTTCACAGAATATATTGTAAAGTGATTGAAGGTATTTTGTGGGCGATAGGCCTACGTGTAAGAACAGTTACTGGTGCTGGGTTGTCGTGTGTCCAGTAAGCTGCTACATCTGCGTGGATGGGACTTGTGATGCAACACTTAATGCCTTAATCTTTTGACTACTTCATTCGATAATTCCATAAATCCCAGATGCTCCAGCCTGTGTGCTGTGTTGGCTTGTTGATCCTGGATCCCCTGCAAGGCTGATCACACTATCTGTGCATAATCCTCCCCTCATAACCACAGCTCCCATGTGACTGTACTGCCGTTCTCTTCTAGTGACTCGGGTCCACTTAGGATTTCCAAGACCCCGACCCCACCAGAAGAGGCATCACCAATTGGTAGCCCCGAGGCCAGCCCTAACCACACGCTGGCGCCTGTAGCTGCATCACCAGCTCATAGTCCAGCTCGTCCCAAATCCCCATCTCAGGTAAAGTAACCTTCTGTCTGTCAGCAATGCAGAGTCAACAGGATTTACTGTGACTGTCAGTTCCATACACATGTACAGCACAGGCAGCATTTACATAGATTGCACAGCATATTTGAAGGAAGTGAAGAAAGAACATGCGGAACGTACTTTGCGCATGTTAAACTACCATCACCTATCTCAAACGTGCTGGTAACCATGGGCACAGTAACTTACTGAGTATTGCTTCTTACTGTGTCAGTTTCTACAAAGACTCCTTTTATAATTGTTTCCTTTGTTTCTCGTTTCTTTTCCTCGTTCTGCCCTGGATCCAGCTGAGAAAAGGACCTCCAGTTCCGCCACCTCCAAAACTCACCCCCACAAAGGAGCTGCACCAGGAGAACATTATCAACTTTTTCGAGGACAATTTTGTTCCTGAGATCAGCGTAACCAGTCCATCACAGGTCAGCAAACGTCTGGTTACACCCTTTACTTCACTCTTATTGTCGGGTTCCTTCAACAGCTGATGTTCAGAATGAGGGCAGTCATTGTTTGCCAGCGGACAATTTCAATGATAGACAGTGTAGCCGTTTTCACCGATTTCAGTGTCAGCTTGGTTCAGTTGTTAGCATTATCGCTCTTAGTCAAAAGGTTGTGAGTTCAAGCCATCATGTCAGGACTTTAAACTCAGAGCCTAGGCTGACTCTCCAATACAATGCTGAGGAAATATCTTTTGGATGTGACTTTAAACCGAGGTCCTGTCTGCCTGATCAGGCAGATGTTAGCGATCCCATGACAGCGGGGGCATTGCTGTCTGCAAATTGGCCTGCATTTGCCTATAAATACACAGTCACTACTCTTTTGATGTGATCGGCTCTATACCAAATGCATGCATTATTAGTATTAATATATGCTGTTTTCTAGTTTATTGCTGGATCTTTATTCATTATTCCTCCCTCAGCCTCTGATTTGAATTGAAGGCATTTTGATTTGTTTTTCATATAATTATTGTAAAATAGACTTTAGTCCTCCTTGGCTGGCTTTGCCAATTCTAATGATCACTATCTCTCTCGTACAATATACCATTTCCCATGCTGTAGAGTTAGGGCTTCCTTATGGTGTCTCAATGGAAGGTTGATGTTATGAGTTTTGACTGAAGAGATGAATTGCATTTATTAACACCCAATTATACCGGGTGTATTACCAGTTGTTAGCTTCCAGACTGTATGGCCTCAATAAAACATGAAAACATTTTTGACCATCACCATCATACAGGAATGAATACATACATCATTCGTTTGATAATGGTGTGACTTTGTCAGTGTTGTAGTGTGACCGAGTTTATGCTGCAGATTTGAGAGATTAGCTGTGCTCGAACCAGCCCTCATGTAAACTGAAAACTACATGAAACTTCAGAGACTAGATATTGTTTCAAGGTATCAGGTTGTAGCAGAAAGCAGGGCCTAGGGCTTTGTTTTGAAATCTCTTTGAATGCACTTCTTTGAAGGGGAATCTTTGCTTCGGAGTGTCATGCATTAATTAACTACTATAGCTGCTTGAGAACTGGCAGGACAAAGTCGTAATAAATCTGAGGCTGCTCGATCCTGGAATTGGCTTTTTGCTTCCAAAATATCTATTTTTTACTCATCGATTTTTCTTCTTCAATTTTTCCTTCCCTCCTGCTGATGTTTGACTCCTTTCTTCTTCTACTGGGGCACAGATCCACATTACAATGGTCTCACTCAAGTGCCCATTATTGAAGTGATGTGTGCCTGAACTCCACACAGGAAGATGGTGGCAATGCTCTCACGCAATACATGCTGAGATGTGTTGCCCACTGGGAAGCTCACAGGGTGTTCTTTGTGTCTACCATCCACCTAGTGAGGACTCAAACTCGTGCTTGTTGGATGTCGAACGACCAACTAGTGACTATCCTACATAGAGCGGAGGTAAGCAGGGTCGCCTTGGAGCTGAACTGGCTGCAAGGTGACATGCCTGGCAACGGAATGTCAGAATCGAGCCAGTCCTCAGTGGCAATCTCAGTAGTCCGGTTCCTGAGCCAAGCAGGTCCACAGTATTCCATGTCAATGACAAGCTATGCGGTTTTAGCTGGTTAGACTCCAGCAGTACCCCAACATACACTCTGGGGTCCACAAACCTTGGCTCTTGCCAATCTGCACCTAATTCTTTCTGGAATTAGGTAATCAGGATGTGTCCCTCCAGGGAGAGAGCGCCCATTCCATTCCAACAATCTATCTCCGGGATTTCCATGTGTAGGTGGGATGCATGGAAATCTCAGCTTGGTTTGGATACTCTTAAGCATGGTGATGGGTTTCCACATGTGTCAGTCACCCGGCTGACCCCCCACAAAAATGTATGAACCTTATAGCAGGTCCCTCACTATGAGCAAGCCCTCTATTTTTGGGAGTTCTGGTGCTTTTAGATTGATATGGATCCTGAGGCAACTTCTATTGCAACATGGCCAGTTTCTTCAGCATCAAATTTGTGAGAAGTATACTAAGAATTGGATATAATAAATAATGTAATTATTCTTACATTTGATAGAGTGTCTGTAATGTAAAAAAAATTGCAAAGCACTTCACGGGTAGTTGCTGTCAAGTTTAGTGATGGTATTTTTAAAGGGAAAAATGGCAGGAAGTGTGTCCACAGAAAGATCCCATAACAGCCATGAGGTGAATGATTAATTTATTTGGATGATTGTTGGCCAGAACATCAGAGTCCTGTAGCTTGGGCAAGTTTCCTTACTCCACACGCCTGATAATAATCCCTCAAGAAAAAAAAAACAATAATATATTGGTCACTTCAATTCACGACTGTTTGTGGGACACTGCTGTGTGCAATTGGCTGCTGCATTTCAAATACGCAGTCAATTCACTTCACAGTATATTCTGTGAAGCGCTTTGAGACATCTAGAAGACGTGAAAAGCGCTATATCAAATGCAAGGATTATTATTATTATTAGAACACTGGGAAAAACTTTATTCTGTCATCAAATAAACGTCTAACAATGTAGCACTGTCAATGTCTGGGTGTAGGGTTGAACCTATCGTTCAACTTCTGCTGCCAAGAATATTAAAGATCACAGAGAGCAGCTTCACCTGAGGAACTGTCCACGTGTTTCCACCAAGGAGATAAAAAAAGAGAAATTAATTGAAGCTCTGGTGCATATGTCTGATCTCAGCCTCCAACAGTGTGTGTGAGCACATTGGCTGCTTCTCCATACCTGAGCTGCCCTCTTCTCTATCTCCCATATCTGTTCTCATTTTTATTCTTTTTTCTTTTTCTTCCTTTCATTTTCTTTTTCCCCAATTGTTGAACTCATACTTGTGGGATGTTGCTGTGGTCCGCATTAGCTACTGCCATTCCCTACATAGCAACATTTCCCTACATAGAAACAATTCACGACTGTTTGTGGGATACTTCTGTGCGCAATTAACTGCTGCGTTTTGCCAACAAAATATTCAGTCACTACACTTTACAGTGTATATTAAAAGCGCTCTGGAATGCCATCCGGCATGGTGGGTGCTATGTAAACATATTTGTTGTTGTTACAGTATATTCTGTGAAGAGCTATAAAATGTCTTTTAACGGTGTGATAAGATGCTATATCAAATGCAAGGGTCATTATTATTCTATCTTAGACACAATTGTATTTATTTCCAGATTATCAGACAGTGTTAACACTTTGACATTGTTAATAATTTTAGATTCTGTCTCCCTTATGGTTTAGGTGGATGTAAAGAGTCTTTCTCCTGGTTAACATGATTTATTTTATTATTGTTTTAAATTGTATTTATCTTCCCCTCCGAATCCAAATTTACTCCCAAATTTCAACCCGATTGTCTGCTCATCTATTTGATGATTATGGAACGTGGAGTCCACAGATTAGTTGCCATGTTCGACTACAAAACAACATTCACTTCATTTGCAATCAATTATATTTCACTTCGAGACATTCATTTTGATATGAAAGGGACTGTGTGAGTGCGAGTTATTATTGTTATGGATTGTATCATAAATGCTAATGAATGCTAATTAGTTGGATAACTCTTTCAAAGAGCCGGCACAAATACAGTGGGCCGAATGGCCTCCTCCTGTGCTGTAAGATTCTATGGTTCTATGACAATTCCATTAAAGGCAGGACTTTTTTTTGTAGCAGACTGATGACTTGGCATATTTTTAAAAGTGGATGTATTTATGTAGGGAAAGGCAGCTGCTTCAGAATCGGTTTTAAATGCATACATTAAATGGGCAAAATATGGTACAACTTGATTTGTAGACTTGGCTCGGACATTGTCTCCCCTCCCCCATTACTAACTGCGCCAATGCAGCATGGCTATCCATTAACAGGATACTCTACTGTCAAATATGCTCCAGTGGTGCAGTGCAGTAATCTTGTCTAAGCAGTTGCAATAGCAAAAGAGGCCTTAATGTGAGTATATTTCTGCAAGGAGGACAGATTCACCCAGGATACGTGTTTAAAGCTTCAAAATAGAAAAGATATTGAGTACGAGCTCCTGAGTTGTTAGCATTCTCAGGTGCCAGTGACGAGGCTGATTTCTCTATTGAATTAAAAGAAGCCGTGTTTTGAAGAGGAGTAATAATATAATCCCCCCCCAAATGAAATAATAATCATAATCTTTGCATTCAATATAGCACCTTTCACGTCAGGAGGACATCTCAAAGCTCTTTACAGATATATTGTGTATTTTGAGGGTGAACAAAACGCAGGTCTTCCCAGAAACCTCTCAATATTTCTGCACTCATTATGGACTGGTTTAACAGATGGTCATCGACAATCTGATTACTTGCTCCTGGAGAATCCAGGGTCAGGAGGATGCCTTAATCTCGACATGTGTGATAGATAGGTGTCGTGATCTCCCTTCTCTCTGTCTTTATCAATTGGGAAAGGTGGGGGGAGTGAACTTACTCTGTTATATTTTTAGCTTTTAACCATGGTGCTATAGTATCTTTTGCTAATCTGTTTGCTTACAGTACAGAAGGAGGCCATTGAACCATCCACTCTATCCTGGTACCAGCTTGTGTACCAGCTCCTTCACTGGAGGTGTATGCTTCAATCCCAAGTCCCACGGGATTTCCCCACACCTTTAAATATGATTCCTTTTCGAATAATTTAACATGCAAACGGAAACAGCATGTGAGACGTACATCTGTTGTTGTAGTTCAGTCACGGCGAATTTCATAATAAAGGTTGTTGTAAAGTGAAGGCTAACATTCCAGTGACTCCGCTCTGTAATTATATTTCTCTCATCCATTTTGCTGTAGTATTAGGAGATAGATAGTTTGGGGGGAATCCAAGGGGTAAGTAATAGATGATTCGAGCTAGATGGATTTTTGTCCTTTCAACCTTTCCAATTTCTTATTTGTGCTTTTACCTGGAATATATTGCATATTACTCAGCAGTGAGGTTGCTGTAAGGTTATTCATGAGCTAGATTTTTTGAAGCAGTGCCCTGCAACTGATCTATTAAAATCAATGAACTAAATATAAATCCTCTTTTCATTTCCCTAAACCCTCCTTAGTCAGCAGCACATCCTCCCTGTGTGACTCATCTATGCGTTTGCTGTATTCTAACACGCGCTCACTTTGAGAACCACTTTCACAAGTTTTCAAGGAGATTTGTTGTTTGTGTCAGGAGCAGCAAATCACAATTACAGTTTGCGCCCCCCCCCCCCCCCGCAGCTTCCAAGTGAGCTGCCAAATCCTTCCTAGTAAACTGCAACCTTTTATTGCTCGGTTAATGAATTATTCAAACCCAGTAAAAATGGCAAAGATGGGTTTGATTTTTTTTGGTCAGCCGGTTTCTAACACGTGGAAAAAGCCAACACCATGCTTAACAGCTTCCATACCAAGAGTTTCATGCATCCCATCTACAGATAGAAATTTCCATGTATTGGATGGAATGTGCACTCTCCGGCTTACCTTCACTCTCTGTCACCTTCCTATCTCTCCGACCTCCTCACTCCCCAATCCACCACCCAGCTCCTCCGCTCAACTAGCACCGGCCCTCTTCCTCGTCCCTCGAACCCTCCGCCTCACCATCGGAGGTCGCACTTTCAGCCACTACACCCCAAAACTCTGGAACACTATCCTTCAATCCCTCCGCCTTGCCCCCTCTCTTCCCTTTTTAGGTCCCACCTGAAAACCTTCCTCTTCGACCGTGCTTACGGCCGCCTTACCCCACCCCCAGCTCAGAGTCAGGCTCTGCCACTGTTAAGCGCTCTGAGATGCTGCCCTGCGTGGAGGGCGCTATAAAAGTGCAAGTTGTTGTTGGACCTATTTCCAGAGATTATTAAGCGCAGGTTGGCAAGAGCCAAGGCATCAGCACCCCACAGTGTGCAATGGGAAACTACCGGAATCTAACTAGCCCAAAACACATAATAATATGATAATAATCCTTGCATTTGATATAGCACCTTATCATATCTTCTAGACGTCTCAAAGCACTTCACAGAATATACTGTAAAATGAATTGACTGTATGTTTTGTGGGTGAAACACAGTAGCCAATTGCACGCAGCAGTGTTCCACAAACAGTCGTGGAATGAGTGCCCAAATTATTATTATTATTTATTTATTTAGCTTGCCATTGAGAGCACTGTCTGACAAGCTTTCCCACCCCTTGTCCAGCTAGGACTACTCTACCCATGAGAGCTTTGGCTTTCAGAGTTAAGAGAAGCTGAATTGGAAGAATCCCTGCCCCTAATCACTTCATACCAGGTTTACTCAGTACCAGTTGCTTAATCCAATGCCTCATGTGAGAGGCCTTGGCAAATAGATTTGCCGGCTGTTAAGCCGACTCTGTCTCCAGGGCGCTCAGCAACAGACCTGCAGCCGCTTCCTCTATTTACCACAAATCCACCTCACTGCTTTCACCCGCCAATTCTTTTCTCTTTCTTTTCTCTCCTGAAAACATTTTAATGTAGTGTGCTAGGATATGTTTCCTTGGGCTCCCTCACTTGTTTTACTCCATGTGGCCACTATTTGTGGCAACTCATTTGCCAGCAAGTGTTGCCGGCTTATTGACATCACTACCAAGCCCATTCCTGACATGAAACCTCCAACATTGTACTATCGACAGCAAATAGTAGAGGAATCCTGGCAGATTTCCGCTCTCTAAACCAGAGGCACTTATGATTGAATGTTTTCGCTCAGTTGCTTTTCTCTGATTTTGATTGAGAAGCTATAAATATATACAATTATCCCACCAGGCTCAATGGTGTGTAAAATACAAAGTTTTATAAGATTCTGTGATTATGCAATGTGCTCTGAAAGGTTCCCTTTTGCTATCTATTCTTAGACTTGCCGTAGGGTGTGAGCACAAACCCTCCCTCTTCCCGCCTCAACCAATTGGGCCTGATGACTTCAATTGCTGTCATTACAGTAGTGAGTGCAGAGACTTTTAAGCAGGGGGCTTAATACAGTAGAAGTGTTGAAGAGTATAATAATAATAATGCAGGCAAAACACGACAGCCAATTGCACACAGCAGCGTCCCACAAACAGTCGTGGAATGAAGTGACCAATTTTTTTTTGAAGGAATTATTGTGGAGTCCTGTAGCTCAGTGGTTAGAGCACTCGCTTTGCAAGCGAGAGACCTGAGTTCAATTCCAGGCAGAGGGCGAAACCTTGGGCAAGTTTCCTTACTCCACACAGAGCCTAATAATAATCCCTCCAAAAAACAAAAACAATAATAAATTGGTCATTTTCAATCTACGACTGTTTGTGGGACATTGCTGTGCGCAATTGGCTGCCGCGTTCGCCCACAAATATACAGTCAATTCACTTTACAGTGTGTTCTGTGAAGCGCTTTGGGACGTCCTCCCGACGTGAAAAGCGCTATATCAAATGCAAGGATTATTATTATTATTATTATTATTATTATTATTACCCCTGGAGAAATGATCCGCCAATCGACTAACAACCGGTTTCCTACTTACTGCTAGGTAAACAGAGGCGTGTGGAGTAAGGAAACTTGCCCAACGTTTCGCCCTGCCTGGGAATCGAATCCAGGTCTCTCACTTGCGAGGCAAATGCTCTAACCACTGCGCTACAGGACTCCACAGTATAAAACAACAACAACTTGCATTTATATAGCGCCCTCCATTCAGGGCAGCATCACAGAGTGCTTAGGGTTTGATAAGATTAACATAAGAACTTCTCTACTGATTGGGGAGTCCAATTCCAGGGGGCACAAATATGACATAGTGACAAGGGAATCAAAAAAAGAATTTAGGAGGAACTACTTCATGTGGAGGGTAGTGAGATTGTGGAACCCGCTGCCTAAAGCAGTGGTTGAATCGGATAGTATAAATGCATTGAAGAGGAAGCTGGACCTCCACACGAGGGAGAGGAGAATAGAAGGATATGGGAGGGAGTAAGGAATGGGTGAAGACTCATGTAGAGTATAAACACTGACATGGACTGATTGGGCCGAGTGGCCTGTTTTCATGCTGTACATTCCTTGTAAATCTGTAAAGCTCCATGGTTTATCTGAATCAGTGTCCTGTGAAACAGCATTCGTACGTTGGCTGGCTTCAGGATCTGTAGCAAACATCCAAGGAATGGTTAGAAATTAACAAGTCAGGGGAAGAGTCATACTGCAGTCAGTGTTAACAAATGGGTTGAAAAATGTCTCGGTTCATAGCAGATTTGATAATCCAATTGATAAATATGGAATCTGTAAAGAAGAATTACATTTTATCATCCTGATTTTGTAGCAAGAATTTCTGTGTATAAGTAGGCAGCGGGATTCTGGAGAACTAAAGAGACATACAGGTTTGGATATTGGAAAGGTAGAAGTGTTATGGAAGGTTTTAAGTGAAAATTAGATCTGAGAATGAGAAATATAAAATGGTGTAGGGAAAAGGCAGGAAAATGGGACTAAGGGATAGCTCTTTCAGAGAGTCAATTTAGACCCTATTATACCCTGATTCAGAAACAATGGACTTATGGATTGTCTTTATCATTTAGCAGCAGTTAGACAAATGTGAAGTAGGATATATATTAGTGTTATCTGTTTGAATACTGAAATTGATATACAAATCTGGTCACTGCATCATTCTTCATGACAGCCTCAGCAAAGATAAGATGCTCACAAAGTAAACAGTACCCAATAAGATTGCTTTGGATTCCAGAGGTTACGATCTAACACTTGTAACACACACCTTGGCAAAGCAAGCTCACTTTCTCTGTACCACAGGACTTCTCGTTCAACCCATAAGTTAACAGCTCCATAAAAGATTTTTATATCTTTATTTCCATCCCTTATGTGGGTATCTCAGAATGATAGAACTTACTGATGAGGCACTAGCACTGCAAATGGGGGTGGCTGATACCTGCGGTTGATCAGTTATATGGCACCCTTCACATAGGATAACATCTCAGCTTTACAAAGATGGAGATGGATGACAAGGAGGGCAGTGGGCAAGAGAGGAAGTGGGGTGACTATTGTGATTGAAGAACTGGGTTTTAAAAGAAAAATAAATTGTAAGAGGGAGAGGTATAGAACGTGCATTCCAGAGGTTAGAGACATAGATACTGAAGATTTGGCCACAGATGGTGGTGTGGATAGAGTGGGAGATGCTGGCGAGCCAGAGTTTCCCAAGTGGAGGGGTTAAGTAAAGGGGTGGCATGGGAGCAGATCAGAGAGTTAAGGAGGTGCTATGGCGTGAAGTGATTTACACATTAAAGTGAGGTCCTTGAAATTAATCCACTGAGTCAGGGAGACAGCTGTCTGGACATTAAAGATCCTATGGGGCTATTTGAAAAGAGAAGAAAGTTTCTCCCAGTGTCCTGGCCAACAATTCCCCAGAAAAAAATAGTTCTTCACTTCATGGCTCTTTGTGGGATTTTGCTGTGTGTAAATTTGGTGTCATGTTTTCCTACAAAATAGTCACTACACTTCAGTAAATCCTATGAAGCACTTTGAGATGTCCTCCTGAAGTGAAAGGTGCTGTGTCAAATACAAGGGATATTATTAGTAATACTATTATACAATCTGTTTAATGGTTTCTCTTTTATCTTTCCTCTAGCCGGAGCAGCCTGCAGTTCAACCCATTGAGTCATTACTAGATCTGGACTTTGATCCTTTCAAACCAGATCATGTAACACCCATAGGAAGAAGTCAGTCACCCATCTCTCAGGTCTGTGATGCATTCATTTTATTTATTAACTGGCTGTACCCATTGCAGCTCCGTTTGCAACCAAACGATTCAATATGGAATGTAGATTGACACACAGACAGATATTTCATACTCATTGGGATATTTTATGCTGTTTTATATTTTATACTCCAATATTTTATACTCATCTGGGAGGACTCCTGTGGGAGAACTCCTTTTGGAGGACTGAGTGGGAGTATTCGGCACTTTAAATATTTAATTTTGTTGTTATTGCCGCAGCTTAGCTTCGTCTGTGTTCTCTATTTTTTCCTGCTGCTTGGCTATGTGTGTGCTCTGTGACGCAGGATGCCACAGCGTCAGAGTCAGCCGGCGTGGCCACCGGGTATAACTACAGCGTGTGCATACATACGTAGATGCATACATCGTGCTCTGTGACGCACGATGCTATAGGCCACGTTGACTCAGCGGCCACCAGGTATAACTGCAGTGAAAAATGCAATACTGAAAATAACTTATGAATGATAGATAGGAGATACCCAAAAACAAATATGCCCATGTCACTCCCAGTTGCAAAACCTTTCTGATGAGGTATAAATCATGTCTCTACGTCAATCGGTTATTGAGATCCTTCTTGAACCGCAGACAGACATTGTTGTTTCATTAGTATATATAGATAGAATAGATAGATTAATGAATGAATAATAGCTAACAAATATTTCATAACCTTACAGGGAGGCACTTCTAAATCAGCCCAGTGGTGTCTAATTTGCAACATTTTAATAAGAAATGTGTGATAATCTAATCCTAAAATATCATTTTATCTACCACATCAGATTTTAATTTTGAAAACCTTTATTACATTCCTCCTTAATCTTCTTTGCTCCAGAAAAAAATGGTCCCAATTTTTCAAGTGTCACTTGAAGCCTGTAATTTCACTCACAAACTGACTTTGCTATTACCACAATAACTTCCAGTTTGAGAATATGGCAATCTCAACCTCTGTAAATTGCTCCATATGGTTTTCTCTATGTGTCTGTGTTTTAATGTTTCTGTTTCTCTTCCTTTTTATCGATTCTCAGACCCTGCCTTGGGATTTGTGGGAGGTAGGAATACTCTTATTTCTCATTTAGAATTCTGTTTATTTTCCAATTTAATTTTGTGTTTTTTTTATGAAGTCAGAGATATTTAGCTTGTCAGAAGTGTTCTTCAGAAGAGTTTGTGATGTACTAATTTTGAATGTGACATGCCATTATACTGCATTTATATTGGAGGTGTCAACTTGGCTGTCAGAGAAATCCGATTTTTCTAATACAGTAATACACTGAAGGACCCTTCAGACTTGTTGGAGAGCATTGTGGATTCTAAGCAGTCTGTGATAAATAGGGCCATTATGCAATATAGAGGATCATTTACTGCAGTTTCATTGGGTAGGCGGGGGTGTACATTAATGAATTATATGAAGAACATATTAAAAAGTCAAACCAATCAACATGGGCGCAAGCCAGCACAGTAACAAAGTGCTGATCAGCGAGTATTATTAATGTGAAGTCTGCAGAAACTTTCATTCCTGCCACATTCCTGCTGATATCTAAGCCGGGCGAGCCATTACACCAATATAATGTCAGGTAAGTGACCTGCCTGCTCGCCTTATCAGTGAGACTTGAAAAGATAGACCTGTCACTGGGCAACTGGATTCTTCCCGCTCTGATTCCATTAACACTAGAAGCCAATAAGTCCAGTTAGGGTGTTAGTTATTCAGTTATTCTCTAGACCAGGGAGGTCCAACCTTTTGGATTTCCTATTCGAGAAAGGTCCGCAGACCGCATCTAGCATGGACCAACTGGAGTCCTGCGGGCCGCATCCGGCCCGAGATCATTTCCAACAATCCAGCTTCCACTCGCTCCCTCCCTGGTGAACGTCCTCTCAGGGCAACGGCAGGAGCCGGCGGTTGGGAGGATGCAGCGCGGAGAATGGAAATAATACCGTCCGTTACTGCAATCTGTGAGGAAGCCAGAACGTCTCTTTCCAACTGTGTCCTTAGCAACCACCGGCTCCTGAGGGGGGAGAGAGGGGGGGAGAGAGGTTTGGGGGGGGAGGTGGAGCTTGGAGGTAAGGAGAAGGGTGGAGATGGGGTCGAGGGAGCAGGTGGTGGGCTTCATTTTTGAAATGATGGAGGTGAGGGAAGAGGAGGAGACAGGTGCGTAGGGAGGAAAGGGTAGGGACCGGGTGTGAAAGGAGGTGGGGAGAGGGTAGCGGTAGACGGGGAAGAGGTAGCTGAGTGAATCCCCTCGATTTTGGACTTGAGGAAGCCCAACATCTACTCCCAAGCCCCATGGCAGAACTTTGAGCTCACACTCCAGTGCATTGCTCGAGGAGCACTGCATTGTCGGAGGTGTTGTCCTTTGGATCAGGTGTGAACCTGAAGCCCCATCTGCCTATCCAAGTAAATATGAAAGATTCTATGACACTGTTAGAGGAGAGAAGGGAGAGCTTCCCAGATTGTTGGCCACTAATCCACCAGATAAAATTGGTCATTAACTCTATGGTTGTTTGTGGGACATTGCTGTGTGAAAATTGGCTGCCTTGTTTGCCTATAAAATAAACATTCACTGCAGTTTACAGTAATTGCCTATGAATTTAGTACCACATTAACATTTAAACCTCCACATGCATAGTTTAAAATCGTGTGACTCTTTCACATCCACAAGGGTGTATATTTGACATCCAATTCCTGGTGTGACAATATCATTGGCTTCTGTCCTCTTTCCTTGCTATATTTTTTATGATATATTCAAATTCTGAACAATTACGTGTTGGCTGTGAAACAAAAGATATAAAGTGAAAAAACTACCTTGCTAAAAACAGAGGGCCCAAAGCCATGCCATACCAATGGGACTGATCCCATCGTGCATATGAAAACAGCGTGGATTTCATGTCGTCACACAAACCTCAGTGTGCAGCCTTAACCAAAAGCATCTTCCATCAGGAATTATACTGTCACTATAGCACCATGCTATGCTAGCCCTTCTTTCTGTGTGTTTGTATGTGTGTGACTCTAGCTATTTTACTTTTATCGCTCTTTCTATCTTAGTTTCATTGTGTATCCCTATCGCTTTTTCTCTCTGCTTCTCTGTAACTATTTCAGATTGCTGAGCAAACTCAATAAATTCCCTGTCAGTAGCACATACATTTGTAAAAATATCCCACCGCTAGTTAAAAGGCCCATTTGCTGAGTATCTGCACAAGCACAATTTACGATTCTCTAGGCAAAACCTCAGCACAATGCTATATCTCAATTACATTGGATTTGAACGGATACACAGACATTTAGCTTGTGGATATGGAGCATTCATCTGTATTTGTCCAAGGCTAGAGGTTAAATTGCAGGACTGTGAATGCATTTCAAAGCACAGGGAGTTCATGCAAAATTCAATTTCAATTTATTTTCAAATTTGTTGCAAATTCACTTTAACATCTTGCTGATGGAACACACTCACAGCTCTCTGGAACAGTGTTGGCCTTGGAAATGCTGCCTATACCACATTGCAATCACAATCTGCAGGCTTCCAGCCAGCTGAATGGAAAATGGAAAAACAACACTGATAATAGCTTCCTTGTGAATTTTCGCAAGAAAGATATATTAGGAGTGTTTCAAAATCGCGTTCCAATAGGGGATATTTTATGTTCTGTTCATTATTGAAGGTAATGGACAGTTTTATACACTGTTGAATGCATAGTATATATCGGTTGCTAACTATTCAGAGTGCTAATGACTGCATTTTCTTTCACATTCAATTCTCTCTGTCTAAAGGCAAACACTGAACTGGTGCAACCTGTAAGTATATTGCCCTTGTTTCTTTTACTTTAATATGGTCCTAAATCTAAGGCCTCTTTCCTATGGGATAGAATGATGTATTCCTAGTGGTATAATCTTTCACTTGTACATCCATATTTATATTGTATAATTTTATGTTTCTTTTTTGGGGGGCAATTTTCCTGACCCTGATCCTGTCATCCCAAGTGTATCTTCCAGGTGGGTTACAGGATAGGGATCAGGAGCAGGATGCTTGGCTGATTACCTTCTCCCCTCTACCAATGACTCCAAGGCTAGTTATGGTACTCCAAATTACTTTCCTGGCTGAGATCAGCACACATCTGGAAACAAATCTGTAACTTTGCAATCTCTGTGGCTTAATGTTACACTTGTTAGTGCCATTACCACTGGGTCATTGGAGGAAGCTGCTTATACGTCCATTTTTATGAGATTATTATTTAGTTCATTTAGATAAAGTTTACGTATGTTTGCTGTTTCTGATTTATTTAGTTCTTCGTTTAATTCATTTTCTACAGCTAGGATTTCCATAATCTATTTATAACATTAAGACATGTGGGATTTCTACCACGCATTTATTTCCTATAATTTACCTTGAGCTTCTATTTTATTTACCCTTGGGAAAAACTTGTGTTGATTTATTTTGCTTTTTTTCATCTCTGCTTCTGCTATCTTTTATATCTGTCTTCACTCATTTTCTATCTAAAGCCCGACTCTTCAAAAAGTCTCTCTCTGTGTAACCTGGCCATGGAGGACAGCGCAGATACTGGCACGGCAGGGGACATTACTAACCCAAACTCTGAAGTAGCTGCCAGCCAGAACTATACAACGCAGTGGGGGTTAACGGACACTGCCGCACACAGTAACAGCGAGGAAACCACTCTAGATGGTTTTTGCGATGGAGCCCAGCCGTGTGCTCAGGAACAACTGTCTGCAGGGAGCTGTACTGACCCTTCAGCTGATAGCTTTTCGAAACCTGCAGATGAGGCTGAGGAGGAGGCACAGGGCTCAGTCAATGCAGAGAGTTGGCAGGAGAAGCCATTAGACAAACAGGTAGACACCGAAGAAGTTGAGTGCAGGAATCTGCAGATTGAACTGTGTGCAGAACAAGAGCACAATCCTGTACTCTCTATTGATGAGAAGGTTTTGGTGGTCCCTAATGAACATGAGGATGAAGCTGTAGAATTAGTTGAAAGTGTTACTGAGTTAGGGCAGATAGGAAATGAATGCAATTTCAATCCCCTTGATTCAATTTACCAATCAGTGCTTGAGGTAGTGGACAACACAGGTAAGGGTTGTGAAGCAGAATCCCAGCTAGTTGAGTGCTCTGGGGGAAATGGTGCAGAAATGGAGGACATGGTCCTTAGCGAGAGCCATCAGGACAGTGGAAGCTATCACAATGATGATACTGCTGATAGTCGTGAAAAGGATAGACTCCCGTTTCAAAGTAATGACATTTTTGATGGTCAGGAGGAGGTTCTGCAGGAGGCGGAGGAAATCCCTGTTATCCATGGCGATGAGGAAAGTCCTGATCACCAAAAGAATGAGGACATTCCTGATTATTTTGGAAATGAGGAACTTCCTGGTAGACAAGAGAAAGAGGAGATTGCTGTCCGGTCTGAATGTGACAGAAGCCTTGTCAGTTCAGATGCTGAAGCTGATGTTATCCCTCAACACACTGAGGTATACATAGCACATCAGCCTCAGCAAGAGGAAGAGAAGGAGGAGGAGGAGAGGTGCTTTGAGCCAGTGAACATAGTCAACACAAACAACACTGAAACAGAGAGTAATGTTAACACAAATGATGAAAATAGCCAACCCAATGAACCACAATCTGACAAACCCATTGTGGACCGATTACCCACGTTTCACAGAGAAAACTGTGACAGTATTAGATTTGCCCCTCAAAGCGTGGAGTCAGACCCCTGGAGTGGAGAAAAGATTGAGATATGGCCAGACAACTGGGAGCCTACAGTTAGCAATGATGATTGGGGATTCTCCAACCTACCTGATGGCCAGACAAATGGACTTGATTGTTGGCCACCATTGCAGGAAGGACAAGGAGAGAGCAGTGACCCTAAGGGAGGTGCAAAAGGAGATTTTTGGCAAGGTTTGGAGGAGAATGTTGGCTGTTGGCCTCCACAAGATTCCGATGAATTTGGTATTCCATGGGAAGGGACTGTGCTGAGCAAGTTTGGGCAGAATCAGGAAGTACAATTAGACCTGCAGTTACGTGGGGAGAATGAAAGCATTAGTGAGACAGAGCAAATCAAAGAGATCAATAGTCCCCAAAGTCCCTATCCAATCGAGAACATAAGCAACTCTAGCAACGAGAGTGCAACCAGCCCTAAAGATAATGAAACAAACATCTCGGATCTGTCAGAAGATGAAATTGCTAACCGGAGATACGGACTGTTATACCAGGAACTAGATGCTGAAAGAGAAGAGGTACCTCATAAAGTGCTTAGTGTAGAAAAAAGTTCTTAGGTATGACTAAATATTATCGTAAAATAACAGCTCTCGATTCAATCTTTTCCTTCAGCTGTCTGTCTTGTTTTGTTATTGCTCCAAAAGGATATGTTATAATACAATAGCAGAACGTAATGAATGTAGTCTGTATTCCGTCTGGAATCCTACAGTGTGTGATTGTAACTTGATATTTTACTTCTTTCCACTATTTCCAGATGACTAATGCTGCCTTTAATGGATTCACACAGGTAAGATATCTTTAACTTGTAATTCAGTCTCCTTAGGTACAGAAGCTACTCCACGCTGCCAGCATAAATTTGATATACTATTTGGATGCTTCACAATTCTTCTTCTGAATCTGATCAGTCAAATTGGAAGGCACACAATAAAGCACAGAACCCTGTGAAAAATGCTTTCCTCTTCCCCTATACCTGACCATTGTTTTCTAATTGCCATGCTATCAGAGATAGATTTTTTTTTGATGAACTTCATTATAATACCAGTCAAGATATGGCGCAGGTGGACTATGTACCAGTATACTTGAAGTATAGTAATGTCTGGCTTCTGCATTCACCCACAAAACACACAGTTGCTGCATTTTGCAGTGCATCCAATGCATCCTTTGGCACATCTTTCTGATATAAAAGAGGCACCATACCAAATGTAAAGATGATTATTATTATTATTATTGGCTGATCAGCTTCCTGCACATCCTACTGTGTAACGATGTCCATTGAAAATGCATATGAAAACGGTTTTGCCAGCATGGTAGTGGTCATCTTTTTCTGTCATCTTTTTCCTGCATGGCAGTGATGTCCATGGGAAATAATTATGGTGTATCCTGTTGCGGGGACTGTTTCTTATATATATATATATATACATATATAATATATATGGAGCCAAACCAAAGCATTATAATAGTATCCTTCCGTATTTCATGGTAACCTCTTAACAACTTGTGGGTGGAATCAGTCAAGGTGACAGGAAACTGGCTTGTTCCATGATGCTTCATGTGGTGCTCTCAATCTCAACAGAGCCACCTGAGGCAGCATCTTTTGGGATTGACAGCCAGCAAACAAGGAAGATATGATAAGGTGCTATATCAAATGCAAGGATTAATGCAAGGATAGAATTGTTGGCACTGTTGTAGAAATTGCTTTGTTCTCATCAGTTACAGCTTTTTGTTCTTTGAACAAATACAGATTTTGTTTTTGTTATGGGAATCACCACTCAGTTTTGCATCCAGCCAATGCCAGGACCAAGGAGCTTATTTTACTTCATGGGACTGAAAAACCACTCCTCAGGAAAGCGGGAGTGTTATTGCTGCCTTATTGTCAGAAAAACAGTCACTTGCAGGCTAAAGTGCATTTCCTGCAGAAATCCCCTTTATATCACTCCAACTCATGAGACTTTGACTCAGAAGGAATGTTGAGTTGGAGCCGAGGTTTTACAAGTCATCTTGGCCTACAAGGATTTTCCTGCAGAAAACACTTTATGTCTTTAAGATGCTTTTTCCAAAGGTAAAGCATCATTAGTATTAATGCTTACCTGAGAGGAGGTTTCCAACTCCATGGTGCCTGTTAACAATGGAGACTCTAAATTATTTTACTTTCTCAGTCTGTCAATGCTTGCCAAGTGTGTTCTTGCAATGCAGCAGTTAAGCCGTTGAAATATTATGAAGTATTACAACATTAATTGCAGGCAGCCCTGAGAGGAGAGGGAGAATTAATAGCTTTTGCAGGAAGCATCTGACAAGGTGCATCTCACTTGAGCACGAGTGATGGGTGTTTCATTAGCATTAATATTATGGCATAGTTAAGAGCAAGAGATAATAACATGAGTTTGCTGCACATCAGCAGATCTTATAGTCATGAGTTTTGAAATGGGGACAGAAAACTTGGAGTAGTTCCAAACAAAAAGTTATCTGTATTTGCACAGCTCTACATAGTCAGTCTGTCCTTCATCTTTTTATTGCCCGCAATGGAAACAGCCTTTGTGATGGGTTGTTTGCTCACTTTAGAGTTCTTTAATGAGAATAAACAATGCACATGGCAGAAGGATGCCTTTGTCATACTTTGAAAGCACGTTAGAGAGAATTACATCCAAGAGAATTAAAAATGAGAATCCCTAAAAGCAAATTGGGGAAAAATTGAAAGGAGAGGCGATAAAAATGAGAGGAGATTAAAAAAAACAAATTTAGAAAGGCGTGTGTGTGGTATGTACTTTTCAAACAGTCTTAAAAAATAAGTGTTTTTAAAAGAAAGTGTGGTACTTTGCACTTCAGATACTTTGAGTCAGTAAAGCAGTCAAGCATCAAAATTCATGGAAATCACCAATTAATGGTATAAGAATTGGATGCTTGAATATTAATAAAGGCTTTGATGCTCCAGGCGTGAATGATGTTAACGTGCTGGAAACCCATACATCTCAACTTTCAGAAGGCACTTAGCTCATGGAAAGCTTGTGACTAAAGTGAATTCTCTTGAGATAAAGAATGAAACAGTAAATGGGATAATAAATCAGCTAAATAAATGGAAACAGAGAGTGATTGAAAGGCCTTGCACTAGAAATGGCCCCACTTGGGTAGTTCTACAACTCTATTTACTGTTCTTTGGTCAACTAGACCAAAGTCTATTATGTACGGAAACTGCAAATTGTCCTTGCAGTCCTTAAAAGTCTCCTTTTACAGCTACGAGGAACTGTCAGAAGTAAATTCTCAGTTCTCCCTCTCAGTGAATTGCATTTCTCTCCATCTCCTGGCCAGCAATCTCCCAGATAAAATTGGTCATTCATTTCATGACTGTTGGTGGGATAGTGCTGTTTGCAAATTGCCTGCCATGTTCATGTACAAAAATATAGTCACTATTACAGTAAATCCTGCAAAACACTATGAGACTTATCTCATTGTGTCAATCACTCAGTGCAAAGTAATCACATTTGCAGCTGACACCAAGTTTGTAGGGACCATGAACACAGCATCTTACAAAGAGAGTGCTCAATGAGGTATACATTTGGGCTGATCACTGGCAACCTAAGTTTAATGCAAGTAAATGAAAGGTACTACATAAATGAAGTAAAATAGCAGTTATGTGTACTCTGTGGATGGGATAGAACTTGACAACGGGAAAGTTGAACTTGACCTGGCATGTTAGTTTATTCATTGCTCACCATGTCCAAACAGAATGAGGCAGCAAAACACAAAGCAAACAGGATGCTGGGATTTATTTCCAGACCTTTTGATTTTCATCACGATAGTCTGCCGGTGACCATTTGGGTTTCAGAGTGTATCAACCAAATTGTGGAGTTCTCAGCATTGTGTTATAAAAATGAAATGATTCCCTTAATATGCGGCAGCACAACGTTAGACCACTGACCGTTAGCATTGGTACAATCTAAGTGGTACAATCTTAAAGGGATTGAAGGAACAGTGAGACCTTCATGAACAATGCCAGAGTCCTTGACAGTGTGATATTGCAATTTCAGTGAGATGTTGACCACCTCCGATGCTCAGCTGCTAAACTGCACAGATGAGGACACAAACGCAAATGTTATCCGAGTTTCTATTAGGTGTGGGCCAACAGCGCTCACTGTACATAAATCCAGCACAAATGGGCATTAAATTGGCAACAAAAACAGAAGTTGCTGGGAACCCTCAGCAAGTCAGGCAGCATTTATGGAGAAACAAAAGTGAGTCAACATTTCAGGTCCACAAATCTTCATCAGAACCGGATTCATTAAATTGGCAATCTCACATGCAGGTCGTAAGGATGAGTGGGGTGGGAAGTGGAAATATTTACCCTCGCACAATGATGGAAAGGGGAGAGAGGAGGCAGGTGGGGGAAATATACTTCTGAGGACAGGACTAAGTTTCATTATTGGCTGCAGCAAACTTGACTTTGGTGCTATAGCTTATCATATTAATCCTGTATTTTAACACTGATATGGATGAGAACAATGGAAACATGTTCCAGAACTGGAATCGCATCAACTTCATAAGCAGTTCAACAACGCCCATTGAGACCGATTGACAATGACAGTGCTATCCAGCTCTTTAAGGGCTGAAATTCCTTTCATTCAAATAATAAGGTTGGCAGAACAGACTTGGTCGTCAGTTCCACAATCTCACTACCCTCTGAGTGAAGTAATTCCTCCTAGATCTCCTTTTACATCCCCTAGTCGCTATCGTATACTTATGTCCCCTGGTTACAGACTCCCCAACCAGTAGGAACAGCTTATTTATGCTAAACCTACCAAACCGTGAATGGCCTTGTAAGTGAGGATGAGGATCTTGAATTCGATCCTCTGGGGGATGGGGAGCCAGTGGAGGCGAGCGAGGGTGGGAGTGATGTGGTCCCGAAGCCTGGTGCGGGACAGTACACAAGCTGCAGAGTTCTGAATGACCTGCAGCTTGTGGAGGGAGGTGCTGGGAAGGCCGATGAGGAGAGAGTTCCCGTAGAAAGGTTGATGGATAGAATTTTAGCAATTGCAAGACTGTTTTTTTTTGCTGATGTGCAAACAGAACAGGATGGGTGCCAGACTCCACTGAGATAAAGATCTTATTTAAACCTCAGGGAACTCCCAGCTTCCTATGTGAGCAGCACCAGCCTGATCTCACTAGCAACTGAAGACCTTGAATAGCCTCTAGCAAGCATTAATCAGCTGTATCTTTGCAGTAAAATTACAATGACTGTCACCATGGGCTGGGCTTGAGCAAACTAATATTACAGATATAAACCTATTACCTTGTCTGCAAGTTGACCTGGTATTTAAAAGAGAATGTAGGAGGAACTAGTTCTGTTCAACTTTCCATTCTTTGGAATACCTTTATTAGCACTGTGTCTATAGAACTGAACAGACCTTATAGACTGCAAATAGGTGTATATAGACTGTGGCAGGGTGGGTATTTCTGGAGATCAAATGGAACGAAGGGCCCTGTTCAACCAAATCAGTCTTATGATCTTATATTCTTGTGATCTTGTCTTTGAGCCAACCAGTTTCAGATGTTTTCAGCTCATGTATTGTGGCACTGAATAAAATGACCGATATTAACTGTAATAACACCGTAAAACGAATATCTCCTCCAAACTATGTCTGACATCAAAACCCAGGAATGTTTTGACAAGGATCCAAATGGGCTTTTCCCCTGGTAACCAGAAATATTGTAGATTTAAGTGTTGTGGAACTTGAACTCACATAGTCTAAGCTGACACTCTAATGCAGAGGTTAAACCAAGGTCTCATCTACTTATTCAGGATGTTAAAGATCCCATGGCACTACTTGAAAAGAGAAGGGAGTTTCTCCTAGTGTCCTGGTCCTGGTCCTGTCCTGGTCATCAATCCCCCAAATAGAATTGGTCATTCCTTTCTTGGCTGTTTTTGGGTCATTATTGTGCACAATTGGGCTGTCGCGTTTGCTTACGAAATACAATCACTCCACTTTAATAATAATAATAATAATCCTTGTATTTTGATATAGCGCTTTTCACCTCGGGAGGACGTCCCAAAGCGCTTCACAGAACACACTGTAAAGTGAATTGACTGTATATTTGTGGGCGAACGCGGCAGCCAATTGTGCACAGCAATGTCCCACAAACAGTCGTAGATTGAAAATGACCAATTTATTATTGTTTTTTGTTTTTGAAGGGATTATTATTAGGCTCTGTGTGGAGTAAGGAAACTTGCCCAAGCTTTCGTCCTGCCTGGAATTGAACTCAGGTCTCTCGCTCGCAAAGCGAGTGCTCTAACCACTGAGCTACAGGACTCCACTTTAGAGTAAAACCTGTGAAGCACTTTGACACGTCCTCCTGATGTTAAAGGTGCTATAGCATGTGTAAGGATTATAATTATTATAAGTACATCACAAAGACCTGAACAGACTCCTCTCTGAAAATAGATTACATCGGAGTAGGCTCCTCGCTAATTGGCGTGATGCACTCCTTATTCCCTTTTTAAAGAATCTCATTAGGAATCGTCCTGTTTTACACTGTTGACTTGTGAAATTTATAAATATTTTATGGGAGTGGCTTATAGTTATAGTGTGACTGCCCGAGAAACAATGTCTGATCTCTGCATCTCTGACAAGTTGTGTATTAAAGATTTTTTCTTCTTAGTCCTTCTCACTGACATGGGAGTCAGCTTGGGAAGTTCTGACTGTCTAGCGCCTTGAGGCATCCTCCTGACGTGAAAGGCACGCTATCAATGTCATTTTGCTTTTGTTGTTGTTGAACCATCCTCACAATGTGAAAGGCGCTATATGACTCCAAAGCGCAGCTTGTTCAACTGAATATTAATGTGCTGCCTGACAGATGGGTTCTCAAAATCCTCCAGCTATGTACACAATGTGATTAATTTTACTGGTGATTGCATGGATTTCTTTGACAGAATTATGGCTGTAGTGTCTCAGGTCAAATTGGAGGGCTGTTTTCTCCTGCATTTCTATCTCATTCTGTCTCTGATTTGTCCTTTCTCTCATTAAAGCTGGATGCTGCCACCACTGAGGTAACCCCCGAGGTGTCTAACCAGAGTGTGTTTGATACAGTGGTGAGTCACCTTTCCTCTTCCTGCATCGCTTTTGTCTGCCTCTAATCCCACAATCCCATTGTAACACAGCTGCCTTCTCAGACTGGAAACTGCTCAGGAGCTTCAGTGCTGAGCTCTAACATAGATCAGAATATTATTTTTAATGTAGAACATCCTGTAAAAATTATATTTCTATCCTAATTCATTGCGTGCCCTACATACAGGTCATTTTACCAATATCAATGTTCTGATGTGCAACGTTATGTTATACAAAGAATTTTCTGAGTGTATAATGTTAAGAATAAGTGATGGACTAATAGACTTAATTTGACAGAGAATGAAGAGTGTGAGCCATGTGCTACATCTCGCCTTATGCTGTATTTCTGGTAACTATAATTTATTCCTCAGTTGCATTAGATACAAGTCAGTTGTTTCCGCTTGGACACCATTACTTTAGCCACTGACCTGAAGGGAGATCACATAAAAATGTTGTGTCTTGCTGGTGTTTCTCTATTGCAAGCGTGTCAGTTCCCAGTGTACTTCAATGGCCCTATGCACACATTGTAAGTGGGGTAGTTGGGTGAGATGTTATAACGGGGTTACCCTGTATTAAGTGCTATGAAGAGGATTGATGTATAAAGACAAACCATGCAAAACTATATGATTCTCCGAGCTCCCTCTTTTTTCCATTGTGCTGGTTCACTCCACATAGCTATGTATCTATAAGCAAGACAGTCAAAAGTGAATGAGATGGGAATTGAGTACAGAGGATCCCTGCTGTAGACTGTAGTGTAGACTGGGAGCAGAACTAATATGAGGGCAATTACTCTGCACATCTTCAGAGTGGATCGTTGTGAAACATGCTATTTGCTCATATCCTCCCGGGTATCCTTTTCCTTTCTATAAATTCCATCCCAAACTAGACGAGGTGTAGCACAATAATGAACTATGGGAATTAGAGGTTTCATTGTTTCAAGCTCATATGCTTCCTTGTAGAGGATTGATGTCTTCCTTTAATGGAGTTTCCACCAGAACTTAGGAAATGTTACAGGTTTGTAATAATGAGGTTCCACTGCACTTATTTTGTGTCCCTGTGTTGGGTCCCTATTATTGGTTTAAAAGGGAAAAAAATTATAGAATTTTGCAGCACAGAAGGAGGCTCTTCGAACCTGTGCCAGCTCTTTGAAAGAGTTATCCAACTAGTCCCACTCCCCCGCTCTTTTCCCATAGCCTTGCAAATTTTTCCTTTTAAATTAAATTTTAACTTAAATACATTAATAAATACCAGACGGGTTTCTGTACAATAATGAACATTGACAGAGATCCTGAGATTTTACAGGGAAAGATCAGCATTCTATAACTACCCCCTCAACTCGTCCCTTATGTCTGCTCTTGATAGATAAGATACCGATTTGGTCACTAAGTAACAGCGAAAAACTGGTACTGAATGTATTCTTTAATGAAAGGCTTCTCTCTGCTGGCCTCATAGAACTGATCTTCACTCAATATCTGCTGTCAAAAAATAACCTGCAGACAATCTGGGTTCAGTGTGTTCTAATTCAGCAAACATTGGCCTGCTTCACATCCCTCGCCCGCTCTGCTCCACTATAGGTGGGCAAGCATTCAGCCACTCTGCCCCCACTCTCTGAGTCCTGTAGCTCAGTGGTTAGAGCACTCGCTTTGCAAGTGAGAGACCTGAGTTCAATTCCAGGCAGAGGGCGAAACCTTGGGCAAGTTTCCTTACTCCACACGCCTAATAATAATCCCTCCAAAAAAACAAAACAATAATAAATTGGTCATTTTCAATCCATATGACTGTTTGTGGGACATTGCTGTGCGCAATTGGCTGCCGCGTTCGCCCACAAATATACAGTCAATTCACTTTACAGTGTGTTCTGTGAAGCGCTTTGGGACGTCCTCCCGACGTGAAAAGCGTTATATCAAATGCAAGGATTATTATTATTATATTATTAATATCTCCACCTTACCCCCTTCCTCTTTCAAAACCTGCCTTCAGACCGATCTGTGTGTTTGGTCACCTATCCCCTTGCTTCCTCCACCACCATCAACAGCTCAAGCTCCCAATCAGTGTGTGAAGCATTTTGAGATACCCTCTTGATGTGAAAGCCGCTATATAAATTGCTCTGCTGTTGTTGAACATAAATTTAGTGGAGACAAAATAAACTTGCTGTAATAGAGTGAATGAGTGAACTGGGGGCAGTATCACTACTATTCCCCCACCACAACCACCCACATTGGCTTCAACTTTTATTGTCGCTAACTAGACTACCATACCATGCATAAAGTGCTAACATGATTACCTTCCCTCCCACTCTCAAAAGATCAACCCAGAGCCCACTCCTGCAGAAGAACCCAAGGCCCCCGAGCCACATCCAGAGAAGCCGCAGGATGTTCTTCCTGCTGAGCCCAGTGTACCAGCGGAGGAAGTGGTGGTTGTGGTGAGTCCTGTTATACTATGCACACTCATTCACCCTTCACAGCTCACTAGCATCATTGAGGGGTCGCTTTTCTGGGGGTAATAATTCCTTCAAACAAATATAATAAGAAGAATTTGGTCACTCAATCAATGACTGTTTGTGGGACACTACGGTGTGCAATTAGCTGCCGTGTTTCGGCCACAAAATATACAGTCAATTCACTTTACAGTGTATTCTGTGAAGTGCTTTGAGACATCTCAAAGACTTGATAAGGCGCTATATCAAATGCGAAGATTATTATTGTTATAATTACCTACCATCTATACACTTCATCCCTCGACTGTTAGCAGCTTATAGTTCCAGTCAATCTTAGAGACCAGTTTTCTGTTCTTTCTATTCTATTTTTTTACACTCATTTGAGTTTCTGACACATGTGGAAAGCCATCACCATTCTCAAGAGTATCTAAACCAAACTGAGAATTCCATGCATCCCACCTACATATGGAAATTCCAGAAATATTGGAATTAGATTTCTCCACATTTCCTCCCCTAGCCCCCACTGTGGTGCTGACTGTTAAGATTTTATTTGTCCTTGTAACTATATATTCACCATCTTTGTTCAGACTTTCTTCAAATAATAATATACTAGCATTTGATGTAGCGCATTATCACGTTGTTGAGACGTCTCAAAGAGCTTCACAGAATATACTGTAAAGTGAATTGACTGTATATTTTCTGGGCGAAACGCAGCAGCCAATTGCATACAGCAATGTCCCACAAACAATTGTGGATTGAGTGACCAGATTATTATTTCTTTTTTTTTGAACAACCGGAAAAAAATGATGGCGGGCTTGGAAGAGGGGAGGGGAATGTGGGAGGAGAGGGAGATCAGGAAGTGGTCTGAGATGGCCTTGTCCATGATAGACAGGTCGGAAATGCCAAGGCCATGTGATGGCGAAGTAGAGGGAGTGGCCACGGTTATGGGCCGGCGAGTTGATGTGGAGGATGAGGTTTAAGGAGGAGAGGAGGGCAGTGAAATCCGAAGAGGTGGTGCAAGGGCAATTTAGGTGGAGGTTGAAATCATCCATTATGAGCAGGTGTTCAGTGCAGAGGCACAGGGATGAGAGGAGATATCGGTGAGGATGTAGCAGGAGGTTTGGGGGGGCGGTAAATTAGGAGGATTTTGAGGGAGAGAGAGGAGAGATGGTAGAGGGTGAGGTGCTCAAAAGAGGAGAAACAGCCAGAGGAATAAGGGGATAGACTAAGGGAAGCTTGGAAGATGAGGGCCACCCTGTCACCATGTTGGTTGGGGCGGGTGGTGTGGTAAAAAGTGTAGCCAGGATGGGAGGCTTCAACGAGGGGGATGGGGTTACTGGGGGAGAGCCAGGTTTCTGTTCGATCAAGAATATCAATGAGCTCATCCAGGATGAGGTCATGGATAGTCAGGGCTTTGTTGGAGAGAGCGGACATTTTGGAGGGAAATGTGGCTAGGTATACTGGTAAGCGGCGGTGATGGGGAGAGTGGTATAGAGAGGATTTGGGATTGTGGGATAGAATTGACCATGGAGTTTGAGGAGTAGGGAGAGTAGGAGAGGATATGGATGAGGGAGAGGGAAGGGGTGTTTGCCTTTCAGAGGCGGTTGCTGCAAAAAGAGTGAGCTATGCGACAGTTGGGGTGGCTGCTCTGGGACAATCAATGCCGGGAGCCAGGATGGGCCTGGCGGAGGATACACAGGGTGGAGCACAGGGAGGTAATGGTGGGATCCAGGAGAGAGAGAAGGAGAGGAGGGCGGTGGGAGAGAAGGACAACAACAACAACAACAAGATTGCATTTATAGAGCGCCTTTCATGTCAGGAGGACGTCCCAAGGCGCTGGACAGTTGTGTCGGGACCCCAGCAGAGGGGAAATGGTCAGGGTGAGGGGAGGGAAGGGAGGGAGCGAGGAGAGGGTAGACAGTCGAAAGGGGAGGTGAAGACACGGTTGAAGAGAAAGGTCTTGAGAACGGCCTTGAAGGAGGAAAGGGAGGAGGCGGCGAAGGCACTGGGAGATAGAGTTCCAGAACCTCGGGGCTGAGAGGCTGAAGGCCCGGCCACCGATGGTAGGGCGGTTGGGGCGGGGGATGTGGAGCAGACCGGAGCCAGAGGAACGGAGGGTACGGGCAGGTAGGTAGGGGGATAGTAGGTCGGAGAGGTAGGAGGGTGCAAGGCCGTGAATGGCCTTGTAGGTGAGGATGAGGATCTTGAATTCGATCCTCTGGGGGATGGGGAGCCAGTGGAGGCGAGCGAGGGTGGGAGTGATGTGGTCCCGAAGCCTGGTGCGGGACAGTACACGAGCTGCAGAGTTCTGAATGACCTGCAGCTTGTGGAGGGAGGTGCCGGGAAGGCCGGCGAGGAGAGAGTTCCTGTAGTCCAGCCTTGAGGTGATAAAGGCGTGGACCAGAGTTTCAGCAGCGTGAGGGGTGAGGTAGTGCCGTAGTCACTGGTGCCGTAGTGCCGTACTCCGGCGATGTTCCGGAGGTGATGGAAGGCAGTGCCAGCTGTGGCGCGGATGTGGGGAAGAAAGGACAGCTCAGGGTCGAACAGAACACCGAGGTTCCTGACTGGCTTTGAGAGGTGGAGAGTGCAGCCTTGGATGCTGATGCTGTCAGCGCCTGAGGTGCGGAGGCGCTGACGTGAGCCAATCAGGAGGGCCTCAGTTTTGTGCACGTTGAGCTGAAGAAAGTTGTCTCTCGTCCAGGACTCGATGTCGGACAGGCAGCTGTCAGGACATCGGTGGTCGTGGAGTTGAGGGTAGAGAAGGAAAGGTAGAGTTGGGTGTCATCCGCATACATGTGGAAGTTAACCCCATGTCTGTGGATGATGTCACCAAGGGGGAGCATATAGAGGGTGAAGAGGAGGGGACCGAGGACAGAGTCCTGAGGGACACCGCACGAGACAGTGCGGGGGCCGGAGGAAAAGCCGTTTGCAGAGACAAAATGAAGACAGTGGGAGAGGTAGGACCTAAACAGAGTGGGATTAGTGGAGTGTGGGCCTGGGAGCAGGAACATTTTCAGGGAGAATGGCTCAGGTCGGGGCGGTAGTCAAACCGCCCAAAGAGCGACTGGGAGCAAGCGATCAGCGGTGAAGCATCAGCCTGTGGGCTATGGGGGAAAGTGCGGGGGTGGAGAGGGGGGATGGTAGTCATGGCTTAGGTGCCAGAGATTGGGAAGGAAGGGAGGACAGGGTAGCAGAGGGCTACTAGAATATACACTATACTTACCCTACCCTGGCGGATTTGAAAAAGGCGCCAGGAATTGGATGTGTAGAATCATTCAAGTAAATCTACATCCCAAGACCCCGGCTGTAATATGTGTGCCCCACCGTGTTGTTTTTAATAATCTTTCATATTAAATTACATAATGCCATATATATTCTTTTGCATTGCATTTTGCACAAATAATGTACATAAGGGGGATGATCAAATTAAATAATCCTCTATTTTCCTCCCTATAAAGGAGAGTAAGGAGTCTGAGGTGCAGGAGTCAGCTGTGAGTGCTGTGACTGAGAGTACTGAGGCATGTAAATGCATTCCACTATATTGCCACATCAACCTGTCCGTTCCCTCCGCTCAGCAGGTTCTGGCCTGCTCCATATCCCCCACCCAGCCCAGCATCCCCCAACCACCCCCCCCACCATCGGCCGTCGGTCCTTCAGCCTCTCTGCCCCACCCTTTGGAACTCCATCCAACATTCCCTTCACCTCGCTCCCTCCCTTGCCTCCTTCAAGGCACATCTCAAGATCCTCCTCTTCGACCGTAACTTTAGCCGCCCTCCTACCCCTACCCTCCCTGCCCTCCACCCCTCCTGATTCCAACTACTTGCCCGGGTCCAAATCCCTGACTGCCCAGTGCCTTGGAATGTCCTCACGACGTGAAATGCGCTATACAAATGTAATTTGTTGGTGTAAATGCAATTTGTTGTTGTTGTTCATTATATTGAACAACTTGGAGTCCTGTAGCTCAGTGGTTAGAGCACTCACCTTGCAAGCGAGACACCTGGGTTCAATTCCAGGCAGAGCGAAACCTTGGGCAAGTTTCCTTACTCCACACAGCTAATAATAATCCCTCCAAAACAAAAACAATAATAAATTGGTCATTTTCAATCCACGACCGTTTGTGGGACACTGCTGTGCACAATTGGCTGCCACGTTTTGCCCATAAATATACAGTCAATTCACTCTACAGCATATTCTGTGAAGGGCTTTGAGACGTCTAGAAGATGTGAAAAGTGCTATATCAAATGCAAGGATCATTATTATTATTATTACTATTATCAACTTCCAGTCTTCACTCTGTAATTGCTCTTGCGTAAAGTCCACTTTGTTACTATCAGCCTGGTTCGGTTAACAGCATTTTCGCTTCTGAGTCAGAAAGTTATGGATTTAAACTCCATGTCGGGACTTGAACTAGTAATAATAATAATCCTTGCCTTTGATATAGCGCCTTATCATGTCTTTGAGACGTCTCAAAGTACTTCACAGAATATATATAAAGTGAATTGACTGTATATTTTGTGGGCGAAACTCTGCAGCCGATTGTGCACAGCAATGTCCCACAAACAGTCGTGGATTGAGTGACCAATTTTATTACAATTAAATTATTATTATTATTAAAGTAATGCAGTGTGAGGGGTGTGCTGTATTGTTTTGATGCTGTCCTTCAGATGAGACATTAAACTGAGGCCCCGTCTGCCTGTTCAGGTGGATGCCAACAATCGCCTAAATATAATTTTGTCAATTACTTTATGGCTGTTTGTTGGACAGTACTATGTGCAAATTCTCTGTTGGTTTGCCCTCAAATACACAGTAACTTCACATTAAATCCTGTGAAGCGCCTTGTGACGTCCTCCTGACAGGAAAGGTGCGATACCAAATGCAAGAATTATTATTATATTACCATTACTTTAGCCGGCCCAACATCCCTTAGCATATTATTATTCTTACCCACATTAACTCTGCCTTTAGCCCCATGACCACCATCCTCAGTTTTCACTGTCTCCTTTGGACAATTGTCTACAAAACCTCGACAAAGTTGAAAGTGAATTAAATAATTTGCCAAATTCTGGATGTTCTGAAAACACTACATAAATAGAGTAAATCTAGAATCAGGTTAAATTTCCCCCAATTTGTTTTTACTTGTGGTGCTAAAGCAGGGGTAATCACCCCCCCACATCTTATTGTGGGCATAGTAATAAGCTGGCCGATCCAGAAATGTCCTTTAAAGCCCTCCATTATCAAGTGACAGGCCTAACCTGCAGCTGTCAATAGAAACCTACACCCTGGCATCAATATATCCTAAGCTCACACAGCACCTTGGGACGTCCTCCCGACATGAAAGGCGCTATACAAATGTAATCTTGTTGTTATTGTTACTGTGTCATTCTTTATGTGATCATTGATTTGTTGTTTGGCACTGTGTTTTTCACAGGATAATATTAATAAGAGGGATGATCAAATAACACCCTATTTATTTTCCTTCCTATAAAGGAGAGTAAAGATGCAGAGGTGCAGGAGTTAGCTGTAAGCACTGTGACTGAGAGCGCTGGGGTATGTAAACGCTGCCTGATGCCTGCATTATATTCAGTTTATCATCATACACACTTTGTTTCCTTTTTAGTTTTTGGTCAGACAGGTATCTATCTGACACTTGTAGAAACCCATCTCTATACTTAAGAGAATCCAGACCAGACTGAGAGTACATATTGTATGCTAACTATACATGGAAATTTCCCTGTGGCATGAGATGTGCATTATTTCTCTCTCCCTTTTGAGGGACAACTCTGTTAGGTCAGTATTAGGCACAAATTGGTGAAAGCTAAGGCTTGGGGATCTCAGCGTAAGTGTAACCACCTAAAACTGAGTAGCTTGCCATTGAGAGCACTGCTGACAAGCTTCCTGCTGCCTATCCAGCTGGGACCACCCTAACCCATTACGGCTGTTGTTTGCAGGGTTAATGGGAATAGAGTGGGTGACTCCCTGCCCACAATGACTGGTCTGCACATTCAAGTCCTCCCGATGTGCCAAGCTGGCTGGTCTGTCATCACTAGTGTCTTGGACTATTACAGACCAGCTTGGCTTAGGAACCTTGACCACCACAAAAGATTGACTCGATTCTGACATTCTGTTGACATGCGTGCCACCTTGGAGCCAACTCAGATCCAAAGAGATCCCATTTACCTCATCTACTAATGATGGTCACTAGGAGGATAGTCACTAGTTGGTCATTACAATAAAATAATTGTCAGTAACCTCAGCTATACCACACGCTAATGATTAATGAATGGAACAGCTTCTTGTCTGTTACAGTACAATAGTTAGTTATGTTTCCAGATTGGTAGAGCGATCTGTAAAGGATACAAGGGAATTAGAGTAATGATTTTCTGCTCATCCATCCAATTATAATTCCCATAATGCTACCTAGGTCTTTAAATTTGACCCACAATATACAACAACTCTGATTATAACTGAGAAAGGGGGGGTGAGAATAGATATGATGAAATAGTCTGAACATCTTTCAAACTTTATGACTCATTTGGTTGTGAAAGATCAATGCTTTACAGAACTGATGAGGAACAGGAGAATCACAAACAAGGAAACTCACTGGAGACCTCCTGGAGATGTTTCTCCGAAAGCTGGAAACTGATCTTTATTAATAATTACTAATAAAATCAAAACATAGTACCCCCTTTCCAATGTTTTCCTGCTGTTTTACACTATCCAGTTTCATAAAATATGCATATCTCGGCAATAATTTTTTTTTCATCTTGTGGTGTCCTTGTTAAATAAATCATAGAATCGCAGCTGTTGACTCAGGCATATTCTGGTATAGCACAAGGGAACAGTGCTGTACAATGGAAGACGTGTGCTTCAGTCTTAATAAAGGACATCATAAAATGTGGCAGAAAACATGTGCCGTGGTTTGAAAATATTTGCAGGCTGTGTCTGTAAGACCTTGTTGGCATTGTTCAGAGCATCAGTGGCTGTGGCCAGGGGCACCACACAAGCTGTGGCTGTGTTGCTCTGGGCGGGGATTGCTTTTGCATGAAAGGCTGACAACGCTAACCAGAGGTGCAGTGCATGAAGTGCGCCAACGTTAAAGTGAGGTGCTGCACCGTACGCTCAGGATGTGCATTTGATAAACATAGTGGAAAATATGCTTCAGTGTGTTTCATGTAACCGATGTCCTTGATGCCTTGCTCTCAACATGTTACTGCCAGCAGCTAATGTCCTCTCAGTAAGTGTACGAATGATTGCACTTTGTGGTCCAGCCTAATTATTTGTGAACAGATTCTTTCTTCCAGATGGTAGCCATGTATAGTCAGAGCACAGTACAAGCTGAGTGAGGTAAAGAGGTGCTTTCAATTCAATCTTGATCTTTACAGAATTTGGTGCCTGAGCCTGAGGCTGAAAAAGACAAGATACATGCTGAAGACTCAGAGGCATCACAGGTACTGGCCTAGTGTTTAATCCCTAATACATCCAGTTCATCCCTTAGATTTGTTTGTGGGACATTGCTGTGCTCAAATTGGCTTCCGTGTTTGCCTATGAAATACACAGTCATTCCATTTTACATTATATCCTATGAAGCTGTTCCAGATATCCTCCCAACATTAAACAACACAACTTTCATTTATATAACGTGAGGTAAGAACAACAAATTACATTTGTATAGCGCCTTTCAAGTCGAGAAGACGTTCCAAGGCGCTGGACAATCACGGGTTTGGACCCAAGCTGGTGGTTGGGATCAGGAGGAGTGGAGGATGGGGAGGGTAGGCATAGGAGGGTGACTGATGGCATAGTCGAAGAGGAGGGTCTTGAGACGGGTCTTGAAGGAGGCAAGGAAAAGGGTTAGGTGGTGGGACTGTGGGATGGAGTTCCAGAGGATGGGGGCAGAGAGGCTGAAGGCCCGCCCACCAATGGTGGAGGGTGTAAGGCAGTGGACATGAAGCAGGCTGGAGTTTGTCTATTGGAATTGAATCACTTCTTTGAGCGGATGAAGCAGAATACCCTCTTCCCCCAATCTACTGGACAACAATAATTTACAGTGATTTAGCACCTTTCATGTCAGAGGACATCTCAAACGTTTGACATTGCTGACTGGTGAGTTGGATGGAGGGGGAAGCTGAGCAGGGTGGAGTGGGGCGGAGGGAAGGTGACTGAAAGTATAGTTGAAAAGGTAGGTTTTAAGGCAGGTTCAAAGGTTGGAGGGCATGGGTGAGGTGGAAGGACTCCGGGATGGAGTTTCTGAGAGCGGGGCAGAATGACTGTATAGTCTGTAAGCATAGTCACCTGGGTGTCTGACACATGCAGAGAGCCATCACCATTGCTTGAGAGTATCCAAACCAAACTGAGCATTCCATGTATCTCACCTATTCATGGAAATTCCAGAGATATTTATTGGAATGGAATGTGTATTAGGCGCATGTTGGCAAGAGCTAAGGTTTAGGTCCCAAGCCTTGATTTTTCTCCCAATTTCCTTTTCCCCACTCCTTAAAAGCTTTGGGTGTACTGCTGGGGTCAAACCAGCTTGCTGTCGAAAGCACTTGTGGCAAGCAAGTAAGCAAATAGATACTGTAGTGGATAGAAAATAGATATTGCACTTCACGTTAAGGGGAAAAAGCAGCAACCTCCCGGGATGTTTCAAAATGCAAGAATGATTCTGTCTGAGTATGATTCTTTACACAAAGGTGACATTGCTTTAGCAATTTGCTATTGATTCTCACAGTGTATGGGGCAACAGAGCTTACTCTATGTGAAGGGTGCTATATAAATGTAAGTTGTTGTTGTCAGGTTGTTTCTGATAGAGTTATTGTACATTGTCTGTAGTCGCAACACTTTGGCAGGATAATTAATGCACTCATGCACTCAGGATCAGTAACTGAAAAACACAGTGAAAAACATGGTCCAGACAGGAATAACTTATAGTGGAATTTATTATCTCTCGGATTCTGGATGTCTCTTGCATATAATAGAAATATTTGCATTCTTTTTTCTGCTCAACATAACCTGAGAGAATCTAGGAACTGCTTGACAAGCATTTTAAAAGCAAATTGTGGAGCAATTGATTTTTCTCCCAATTTCCTCTCCTCCACCTCCAGAAAGGATGTTAAGTCTTTTTCATCCCACTAGGATATGTTTTTTCAGGCACTGGTTGTTCATGTGTTTCATGTTTCCTCAATATTATACCCAACAAGGACAAACCTTAATTTAGACAGTCTCTCCAAAATCCAGTCTGAGTGGTGTTAACACAGGGCAATTGGAAATGCACAGCACTGTGCCCTTTAAGGAGCGTTTTATTCAAATTTATGTTTTTAATTTCTTTGTGTTCCCAGGAAAAGGTTGTGCTTCCTTCGGTGGTCATTGAGCCGGCATCAAACAGCGAGACTGAGGCTGAAGGTACTCTGAGCATTGTTGAGAATGAAACTCCAGAGTCACAAGAAGACCACACACAAGACAAGGATATGAAGTCAGATGTGGATCCCAGTGCACAGGAGATGAAACCAGTGGAGGAGGTGAAGCCAGAGCAGGAGGTCAAACCAACACAAGAGGTCAAGCCGGCCGGAGAAGAGGTCAAGCCGGCCGGAGAAGAGGTCAAGCCGGCCGGAGAAGAGGTCAAGCCGGCCGGAGAAGAGGTCAAGCCGGCCGGAGAAGAGGTCAAGCCGGCCGGAGAAGAAGTCAAGCCGGCCGGAGAAGAGGTCAAGCCGGCTGGAGAAGAGGTCAAGCAGGATGGACAAAAAGTCAGTGTAGGAGCCCCGAGCGCTCCTCAGCAGCAAAGTGAGCCTAAAACTGAAGTTGGAGGGGTGCAAGGCATGCCTGCTAATTTTCAGTTTAAGGTAAGTTTTTACCAGTTATCTATTTTAGTAGTGTCAGAACACGACCAGAGAACAACCTGAGTTACATTTATGCAAGTCTGTCAAAAATATCACTAAAAACAAAAGGTACTTGGGTTTCCAGCAAGTTCTAGTTACTTTTTCTATTTTTGCTGCAGATTGAAAATACATGTGTTCACTTATGTTATGGTCCATGGATTAATATCACATTGACCATCACTGAGAGATGTTATCTGGTGGCATTTTCTTTCAGGTTAAAGCACTCCATAATTTTGATGCTGCCAGTGAAGATGAGCTTAACATGGAGCCAGGAGACATTGTTCTGGTGATTCTATCAGACAAAGTAGAAGAGCAGGTAAGCAGAAAACAAGCTCTATTTTTAGGGGGTCAGCCAAGTGTTTGGCACATGCGGAAACCCATCACCATGAGTATCCAATCCAAAATAAAAGCTCCATGTATCCCACCTACACATGGAAATTCCAGAGATAGATTGTTCGAATGGAATGGGCACTGGCTCCTTGGAGGAATGCTTGCTGCTTACCTAATTCTGGAAAGTATTAGAGCATGCATTGGGGTACTGCCTGAATTTAACCAGCTAAAACCACATAGGTTGCCATTGATATCACTATTGGCAAGCTTTCCTGCTGCTTGTCCAGCTAGGAACACCCGACCTTTAGGGCTTTGGCTTGCAGGGATAACAGGAGCTGTGTGGCAGGATTCCTTGCCCCCAGTGATTGGTCTACTCTTCCAAGTCCTGCCACTGAACCAGTATGTGCGGTTATCAACAGTACCCTGGAATACTGCGGACACAGTCGATCACGCCATCCTCCACCGCCTTTCCTCCGTCATTCACCTCAGTGGGACCGCACTCGCCTGGTTCGAGTCCTACCTCACAAACCGCCAGCAGTACATCTGCACAAACGACTTCTCCTCTCGCTCTCACCCGGTCACCTGTGGGGTACCCCAAGGATCCATCCTTGGCCCCCTCCTCTTTCTGATCTACATGCTCCCTCTTGGGGATGTCATCCGGAGACATGGGGTACATTTCCACATGTATGCAGATGACACCCAACTCTATTTTTCCACTTCTCTTGATGTTCTGTCAGCCTGCCTGTCAGATCTCAGATCTCACTTCTTTCAGCTGAACGTTGACAAGACAGAAGCCATACTCTTTGGCTCTCATCAACATCTAAAATCTCACGGCTCTCATCTTTTCCATCTATCTGACCTCCCCCTAAAACTCTCCGAACCCGTACGCAACCTAGGGATCAGGTTCAACCCCCAATTATCCTTCCTCCCCTGCATCCAATTGCCTTTGTTCCTCCGAGTCTGGCCTCCTCATTATCCCCCGAATCCTCCACTCCACTCTCGGTGGCCATACCTTCAGCCACTATGCCCCGAGGCTCTGGAGCTGCCTTCCTCACTCCCTTCGTCTCGCTCGCTCCCTTCCCATTCTCATATCTCTGCTGAAGACATTTCTTTTTGACTGCGCTTTTGATCACCTTCCTCCCCATCCTCCTGGCTCGGCCCCGGGATCCGTTACTGTAAAGCTCTCTGAGATGCCGTCCGGTGTGGCGGGCGCTATATAAATCCAAGTTGTTGTTGTTGTTGACCCACCTGGCTCAAGATCTACTAAGACCGCCACAGAGCTTGATTCCCACATTCCGTTGCCATCTTACAGCCAGTTCACCTCCAAGTTTAGAGGCTTACCTCCCAACCCAACTTACCTCCCAAAACAAGCACGAAACATACCCCTTTATCTTCTCACAGAAATGTTTCTTCACCAAAATCTTCTATCACATTTTCGGTCTTTCTTAAATATAATTTTCGGACTATATTGAGGATACGTGATTCAAAATCTACAGAATTTAGCGATATCCACTCAAGAGAATTCAGTAATTATACTGTCACAGTAAGGTGACAGTATACAGTAAGGTACTGTATACAGTAAAGTCACAGAGGCAAAGTCCATTGTGGGGTTCAGATGGAATTGGACAGGTGTGGAATCCTCTAGCATAGTAGTTAGCACCCTCGACTCGCAAGCGAGAGAACTTGAGTTTAATTTCTGGGTGGGGCAAAATCTTGGGCAAGTTTCCTTATTCCACATGCCTCTGTTAACCTAGCAGTACATAGGAACCTGGTTATTAGTCTTTCTTAAATATTATTTTCAGACTATATTGAGAATATGTGATTCAAAATCAACAGAATTTCAAGATTATTATCATTATATTATTATTAGTGATTGGTGGATCACTTTCCAGGGTAACAATCCCTTCAAAAAACAATAATAATAATGGTCACTCAATCCACGACTGTTTTTGGGACACTGCTGTGCGCAATTGGTTGCTGTGTTTCACCCACAAAATACACTCAATTCATAATATATTCTGTGAAGTGCTTTGAGATGTCTCAATGACGTGATAAGGCGCTATATCAAATGCATAGGTTATTATTATTAAATAAAGATTAGAGGCTTGAAGGGGTGTGAGGAAATGGAGGGCAGTTGGATTGAAAGTGTAGCTTGCTCTGAGAGTCGGTGCAGACTCAGTCGGCCGATGGCCTCCTTCTGCCCTGTAAATTTCTAAGATTCTATCATTCCTGTGCACATTAGGAATCACGATTTCAGCAGGGAAGAAGGGAAAGGGAAATGTCTCCACCAAAAACTTAGTATAACAATATTTCCAAGGTATTCAACAGTGTTAAATAGTTTGTTGTTTGTTTGTTTGAACGTCTCCTGATAACACTATAAACATCTCTTGTCTAACAGTGTGAACTCTCTCCTACTCTCCACTGGGACAGTATGAACAATGACATCATTAGTCCAGCCATTGTGTGAAGTTGGGAGGAAGAGGTTCACAGCTACTGACCAGTAGATTTAATCACAACATGTGATAGATATCAAGTCACAGGTCACATTTTCACACCCACTATTATTTGTTTTGAGGTTCTTAGAATCCTTGATCATACGTTTGGAATGAAGAAGGCCCTTCAGCCCATCTGACCTCATTCCTCCAAAATCTGTTCCCTGTTACCTTCAATCATAACATCAAGCTGTTTATTAAATTAGTTCCTTGTCCTACCTTTGAATCACCCTTGCTGGTATCCTGTGTATCATTAATTTCTTCTTGGTAAACAAATACTGTGTGGTGTCTGTCCTGAAATTGCCCATTGGAAGCCTGAGCCTGCTGTGCCTTCTTGTTTTTTGCTGTCTTGACGTATTTGAAAATATTGTTCTGGGTTTATTGTCTGAATCCCATTTAAAATCTTATGCACCCCAATAAGCTCCTCTCTGAGATGTCTTTTCAATGCTGAAGAGCCTGAATTTATCTTCTCTTTGCTCATTGCTCATTCCTCTAACACTGGGGACCATCCTCGTTGCTCTGCCTCTTGGCACCGGGCAACTCCTTATGTTTCAGTGACCACAACGTACGCAGTAGTCTAGGTATGACCTGACCAGAATACTATACAGGTTAAGCATGTCTTCCAGGCATCTAAACTCAACTGATTTTCTAATATAGCACAGCATTCCATTTCCTAGTATAAATAGTTCAGGTTAAGGTGTCTCACTGCCATAGTGTTTGTTGCACTGGCTATTAATGAACAGAACATTTAGGATAATGTCACTGTTGCTGCTTGAGTTCAAAGGGTGGCATCCTGGATTAATTTGAGTACTTAACTAGAGCTTCATTTAAGAGCTGCAGAGTCTGACTGACAGTCTTACAAAAAATAAAACATATCAGGCAGAAAATAAACTTGTTTCTTGTAAATATACCTTCATCTGTCAGTTCAGTGACAGATGAAGGTATAGCTGGCCCCCACCTGTCTTTGGGGAGGTGGGGAAAAGATGAAGACACATCCCAACATTGCTACTTGGAGTTTACACTTTTGTTAGTTGCTCTTTAAGATGAGGATGATGCTTCAATGCCCTAAGGTTCAAACAGAAGCCACTTTTAGCAATCTCTCCTTTCAACATCGGGAACCTGATTTCAGTCCAGCCCCAACATCTGGAAATTAAGAGAAAAACATTTGGTGACATCAATTCTGTTCCACACCGGTATCTGAGGACAAAGCACTGAACAGCTAGAATCCCCCAATAAGTGGTACTGATGAGTCCTAGCCCTGGACGTCCCAAGCCCTTCAGCGCCTTGGGATGACCTCCCGATGTGAAAGGCGCTATACAAATATAATTTTGTTGTTGAGATCAAACGTACAATCCACAGCGACCATCAGCATTGTGTTTGGTTACCACTGAAGACACAATACAGCTGCTGAGAACTGTATTGGAGATTAGAAATTGTTTTTTTTCTTCTTGCAGGATGCTGGCTGGCTTTTGGGCATAAAGGAGTCTGACTGGTTACAATACGGTGATGCCAAGGGCCATAAGGGACTGTTTCCAGAGAATTTCACACAGCGACTGGAATAAGCATCAGCTGCTGTCTATGGCTATGTGGAATTGTTCAATTATAGCAGGACTTCTCTGACCAAACCACGTGGTCCCCACAACACACACTTGTGTCCTTGGAAGTTTAATGGTTTACAAAACATTAATATCAGAGTCTAAAAGAGATATACAGCAACAAAAAGAGCACTCAGTGAATACAAGAGTGCAGGTGTCTATTAGCTGAAGGAAAAAAGCATGACAATGGCCCAAACGTAATTATTAATTTGAAAATAATTGTTTATCTAAATGCAATATGTAATTGTGCTTTAATGGAGTTCTGGTGATCCTGTGTATGATCCCTTGCTATCACTTAATGCCAGTGTAACTGTTGGGCAACAAATTTATCTTTTTGCACTGAGCATAGCGTGTGAATTTGTTGCACTGCATCAGAATTAAGGTAGTGTATCACGTAGTCAAATATCTATAAACTTATTAACCTTTGATATGTTACTGAAAATTGCTGCCGGTTGTTTTTATTTATATGATGTTGCTGGAAAGTTTGCCTTTTCAGTGATGCGGTGTAGGTGACCCTGCTTTGAAATGTATCTCCTTTCGAGTCTCCTTGCCACGTGCATTTGTTGTTCCTTGTCACCAGCAGTCTGCTGTTGACTCTGTTTCCAAACAAATCGGTTTTGCTTCATTGCCAAAATAAACTTGAGAAATTGTACTTGTAATGTATTGTGCATTAAAGTTTTAAAATTATACAATTTAAAGTGCAGTATGATCTTCTGGGGCAAGAGTTTGCCAGTTCCCCCAACTGGCTGGTAACCTGCTGCTTTTCACTCTCCTATATAACCAAACCACAAAATAACAAGACGTTTGCAGCTCCTTAAAAGGCTGAGTATAATCCAACCCTTTTATGTCAGTTATTTAACTATAAGCTCGGTTTATCTTTCAAGGAACAACTATAGCATTCTGAACAAATGTGACAAAATAAGTAAAATATTAATGATGTCCATGTCATTTAAGTACTGTATCAATGTGCTGTTCTGTGATCATTGCTATTCATATTTCATTACACTGACTGAAATAAAAAATATTACCATTCTGAGTTGCATTATTTAAGTGTGGGGGAGGAATCTATTTTACATTTAAAAATTGATAATCGTGCAGCACTGAGCATGTCAATCTAACATCATCCTAGGTACATTTACAATGATTGCCACTGATCCAGCGCCTTTCACATCGAGAGTCTCAAAGCGCTTCACAAGATTTACAGTAAACCAAATAACTGTATTTGGTAGGCGTAAGCACCAGTCAATTGGCACACAGCAATGTCCCACCAATAGCCAGTGAGTGAGTGACCAATTTTACCTGGGGGATTGTTGGCCAGGAAACGGGGAGAAATTCTTTCAGAGTGCCTCGGGCTCTTTGACATCCACCTGGATAGGCAGACATGACCTCGGTTTAACATCTCATCTGAGAAATGGCACTTCCAACAAAGTACCACACCCCCAATACTTCACTGGAATATCAACAACAACTTGCATTTATATAGTGGCCTTCATGTGGGGGTAGCATCCCAGAGTGCTTGACAGTGGTGGAGTCTGACACTGAGCCAGCGGGAGAGGAGGGTGACCCGTAACCATAATCAAAAAGTTCTTTAGGCAGGATTTTAAAGTGCGGAGGGAGGGAGGGGGCAAGGGGGAGGGATTGAGTTCCAGAGTTTCGGGGCATAGTGGCTGAAGGCGTGACCACTGATGGTGGAGCGGAGGGGATGAGGGACAAACAGGAGGCCAGAGCCCCTCAAGCAGAGGTAGTGGGTGGAGTTGGGGTAAGCAAATTGGATAGGTAGGGACGTGCAAGGCCATGAAGGAATTTGAAAACGAGTGATAGGATCTTAAAATTGATCTGTTCATTAATTGGGAGCCAGTGGAGCTTGGCAAGAACTGGTGTGATGGGTTACAGAGTTTTGTGCAGGTGAGTATCTGGGCAGCGGAGTTTTAAATTAGTTGAATTTTGCGTATGGTGGAGCTGGGGAGCCCAGCGAGGAGGGCATTGGAATAGTCCAGCCAGGAAATGATGAAGACATGTACGAGGGTTTCGGCTGCTATGGTTGTGAGGTACGAATGGAGGCGGACAATGTGATGGAGGTGGAAAAAAGCAGTCCTGGTCAAGGAACGGATATGGGGGAGAAAGTTGTGGATCGAACCTGATGCCTAAGTCGTGCATGGCTCTGGTGAGTTCTGAGGGAGAGCCAAGGGAGGTTGATGAGCTCAGATCTGCAGAAGGGAAGACATTGACAGGAGCCAGAGTTTGGCTTCTGTCTTATGGATATTACGGAAATTTGTGGTTAACCAGGACTTGATGTCCGTCAACAAGCTGACAGGACATCAGTGGACTGGAGTTGCAGCTGGAGAAATAGACTTGGGTATCATTCGCATACATATGGAAGTTCACTGCATGTCTGCAGATGACATTGTATGTCTGCAGATGACAGATAAGCATGTAAATAATGAAACGAAGGAGGCCAAGCATAAAGCTTTGGGGTACATCGCAGGTGACAGGGTGGGTTGGGAGGAAAAAATATTTGCCAAGATGTATTGTTGCCAGTTTGTTAAGTAGGACTCAAGCCATGCAAGTCCCAGTAAGGTGGATTTTTGTGTGAGTATCCGCGCAAGGAGTGGAGAAGCGGTGGGAGAGGATGGCCTGGTCGACTGTGTCGAACGCAGCGGAGAGGTCCAGGAGGCAGAGGGAGCCCTGATCACAGACAGAGAGGAAGTCATTCGTTACTTTCTAATGAGCACTGTCCCTGTACTGTGGGCCGGTTGAAAACCGGACTGAAGGGGTTCGAGTAGGGAGTGGAGGGAGAGATGTTAGCAATGTTCTTTTGTAACAATGCCTTCCAAAATTTTGGCCAGGAAGGGCAGGTTTGAAATGGTATCAGCCTAGATGTGCGAGTTCAAAGATTCAATGTGGGACTTGAACCTACAACCTTTTGACTCAGGTGAGAATGTTACCAACTAAGCCAGGATGACACCAGGTATTAAGGCTTTAGCTCCAGGGTTTTGGGACATCTAAAACTCAAATGTTCAATGTGCCTGATCAACTATCAGAGACTTGATTCACTGGCCTAACCGACCTTGTCAGAGGGCCACCTATTGCCCTAGGCACAGCATGTTTAAAGCTTACTTTTATATAGAAACACCATAAATCACTTTACAAATAAGATTTAAAAATGAAGGCAAACACAACAGCTAATTTCCATCAGTAACATCCTAGAAAATAGGTTAGGTTTTAAGTATTGTACTTAATTTTATCAAGCTTTAAAGGATGAAGGTGAAACAAACTGGAACTGAATCTAGATTGTCTGATCTCTGATCTGTTGCTCAACAGACTGAACGATTTATGATACTCATTTTACATATTTTTGTTAATTATAACGTGGTGAAATATTGCCTACAATGATCAAAATGCAATAAATTGAATGTTTAAAAACAAGCAAGATACCATTACCTCCTGCTTTAGTTATTTTATTCCTTACATTAATTGGAATTTAGCAACAACAATTTTTACTTATGTAGTCACTCGCATAAGATTTATGGTTCAAAATACATGAAAGGGAGCACTGAACAGAGAAAAAAAGTAGAATTTAAAGATGTTGAGTGAAGGCATGGTCTGAGATAGTATCCTAGAAATGTTTTGAAAGCAGAGAGAGGGGCAAAGCAAAGGGATTTTGTAAGCGTTGGGAGAGAGCAGGAACATTGTGGGTGAAGGCTCGGCTATCAGTGATGAGGTGGAGGTTGTCAGGAAGGAGCAATAGTCAAAAGAGTGAAGGGCATCGATGGAGGAAATTGCAAGGGAAGCCACAGACTTTGAAGGGATTTGAAGGTTAGAACCAGGATCTTAAAATCAATTAACTGAAGTACTAGAAGCCAGTGAAGACTGGAGGATGGGGGGTGTGGGTGCACCCAGCCCAGTGCAGCAGAAGATATGGGCTACAGTTTTCAATGAATTGGAGCTTGTGAAGAGTGGAGGTAAAGGAAGCTGGTAAGAATTGATAGATTTAAAATATTTTTGCCCCAATATCATTTGGCTCCTTTGACAAGTGCACTCTGTGAGTTAAACTGACTTGTTCTATTATTTGTTCATATATTGTATGATCATTGAGATGATTTAAGCAGAAGTTAGTTCAACTCTCCAACACGTGGATCTCCATTTACACTGTAGGGTGTGATATCCAGCCAGTATCAGCAAACACATGGAAACACACTTATACAAGCACCTTGTGATACAGATGCCATGCAAGTGCTGCATTTTCAGTGAATAACTTCCCCAACAACCCAAGTTTTTTTTTTATTTTGATAGAAGGACATTTGCACCAAAACGTCAAGTTTGTTTTATCGTGCAACAGTGAAACTCGGGCCCCATCCGGTCTACAGCAAAACCACCTTAGAATAAGTAGTGCGTTTTACCAGCAATACTGCCTTACCAACTTGGTTCCATTGATGAGAAAAATTATAACTCATTCATACACTAGGGAGAAGGGAAATCGACTGCGTGGAGGCTCATGTGGAATATAAATATCATCATGGACTAGTAGGGCCAAAGGACCTATTTCAGTGCTGTGCAGTCTATGTAATTCGATATAGTCTGCAATGCTCACACTAATCCACACACTTGAAAGGGGTAATGCACCTTTTCATCCCAGGTACACTGTTAGACACCAAAACACATCACCAATCACATCCCCAGAACATCGTAGTTTCCCAAAAGTAAAAGATTCATACAACGATATGGGTAAGATCTACTGCTTGCAATCTAACTCACTGCATAGACTCACAAAGAAGGCACATTACATGCATTTCACTATTATTGAGGTTGTGTGTGGGTATAACCTTTATACTATTTGGTGCAATCTGCTCTTTCATAGAAAGAAAATAGTACATACAGTACTCGGAAAAATTCATATATATATCCAATTATTTGAGATAAATCTAAATAAACTAACATTTTTATTTTCCCACTCAGGCTCCAGTTGAAATTCTAAGGACTCTAGCCAATAAAAAAAATGTTTGAAGGACATTTTGGGTTGAGAGATTGTTGCCATTATAAACTAAACCTGATCAGCCGTAAGACTTCAAATTCATTTGTCCATTATTTTTGCAAGAATCTTGAATCAATATTTTAAAATTGTTCTAGCTGTTTCTTTCCCACTTTCCAGATCACCCCTCCTAGTCGGACAGCAGATCAGCTCAGTAACCCACCCCCCCCACACCACTACCCTCAAGTAGGGTGTAGAGTTCCAGCTCAACCTGTGTCTGTTAGTGATCATTGCTTGAGAACTCGGTTAGCATCTCCATTCCTTCTCTCAGCTAGTTTCAGGTGTACAGTTTCTTTATGCCACTGAGCTCAATTTGACCAATCTAATGCATTTCATAATGATATTAATCCCAGCTAGATAAGGATTCAAAAACACCAGACTCTCTCAAAAAGAAACATTTAAGTTGTTAAAATTGCGATGGAAATGATAAACCAACTCAAAAAATAAAGTAGTGGGATAGTAGAAAAGCTGCTGTAAAGTGGCCTTTGAGATCAATGTTGAACTTTTGCAATGCATACAGTAACAATATTAATATCCTTTTCAGTCTTGCAGTCTCTGATTTCAGCTCCAGATTAGTCAGACAATTAAATTCTCATTCATTTTGGCAAATACAATAACTGCAGTAATTATAATAAACTATAGAGCAGAAATTTAATCAGTTTCAAGTGGTCTTTGTGTTCCAATCCGAATATTCATTTATTGTTATCAATGGCATGGGGTTCCCACTTTAGATTTGTGGTCTTTACATTTACAAATCAGATGAATGCACGTCTCCTGTTTCTATCTCATGAAGATGCGTCGTGCTTTGGTAAAGGAGCTGCAGTTGGTTCCTTGCTCTCTGTTAAAGCTCTTGGTTGATGGATAAACACACTGAATTTAACTCCTTGGTTACCTGCGGCTCTAACAAACCCACTGTTTGCAGTCATGGTTATTGCCTTTAAAGTGTCTCCAGTGCCAAAGATAGTAATAGAACGAGTGTTGATTTTTGCACTAGCTTCCAGCCTCAAGGCATATTCAGAAGGTTGGTCTGGTACAACTGAGATTCTCTGGAGCAGTTTCTGTGCTCGGTCCCTCTCCCCCTGTCCACCCAATGTATCTAAAATGGCTTGAAAATCCTTCACTGCTGACTGACACGCAAATAGTTCCTTACCCTTCATAAAGGCCTGTAGTTTGGGTAACACACTCTCCTCCCTTTCCTGTGCAGCCTGTTCTGTCAACACTTTCTCTTTAAAAATGTAGTCGCAGCCCCCGTGACTGACAGCCGAAACAAAGGTGATTAAGGTTGTGATATCTAGGTTGACTCTATTACAGAAATCCACCTTAACGTCAGTCGGGAAAGCAACGCTGGCGACGATTGTTGAGCGATCGACTTTAGTCACACACAGAGGCTCCTCTAGATCTTCCTCAGAGTCACTCAAATTCTCACCAGCTTCCTCCACCAGATCCATCATCGAATTCACCGCGACAATATCCCCTCGCACAGAGAGCCCCATTTCCTTCAGTCTGTCTGCCATGGGGCTCGAAACACTGTTGTAAAACGCAAACACAATGTGCGGATTGCTGTACTGCACCAGCTGCTGTTTGCTGGCCTCCAGGTAGTCTTCCGCTTGCTCTATGATGCTCTTGTCTCCGTACTGCCCTCTGCCCACCCAGATGCTGTGCAGCGCCTCGGCTTTTCGGCCAATTGCTTTGACCCACGTGTGACCGCTGTTGGCCACCACATCCACCACCAGGCATTGCTTCTCCCCGGCACGGTCCCGATAGTTGAAGACATGCAGCAAACTGACCACATCGCCCAGGCTCTCGGCAGACTCGATCACCGCCTTCAGGTGGGTGAGGTTCGTGCTCTGCAGGTGCGATTCCTTCACAGACACCTTACCCAGTTCCACTTTCTGCAGAAACTTGAGCTCTGCCTTCAGTTTGCTGCAGAGTTTGGGACCTCCCTGCACGCCGTCCTTCCGGGAACAGGCAAGTGCCTCCGCCCTCTCAAGCAGCTGCCGGGCTTCAGCCATTCTCTCCATAAGGATTCGGTGCACCGACATGGTGAGATCATCACCCTGGAAGAAGCTATGGGTTGGAAGGAAAGAGACAGCGAAAGTCATCATTCTCACTCACTCTATCTGGTGCCTGTCTCACTCTCTCTCTGGTACGTATATCGCTCTCTTTCTCTCTGGGGCCTTTCTCACTCTGCATCTCTCTCACTCTTTCTCTGGTGCCCATTTCACTCTCTTTCTCTTGTGCCTGTGTCTCACCAACCTGAACCTCTGGTGCCTATTACACTCTGTCTCTTTCTCTGGAGCCTGTCCCACCCTCTCTGGCTCTGGGGCCTCTCTCTCTCTCTCTCTCTCTCTCTCTCTCTGTGGGGCCTGTCTCTCTCTCTCTCAAGGCCTGTCCAACTCTCTCTCTCTCTCTCTGGGGCCTGTCTCACTCTCTCTCTCTGGGGCCTGTCTCACTCTCTCTATCTCTGGGGCCTGTCTCACTCTCTCTCTCTCTGGGGCCTGTCTCACTCTCTCTCTCTCTGGGGCCTGTCTCACTCTCTCCTCTCTCTCTTCTGGGCCTGTCTCACTCTCTCTCTCTCTGGGGCCTGTCTCACTCTCTCTCTCTCTGGGGCCTGTCTCACTCTCTCTCTCTCTGGGGCCTGTCTCTCTCTCTCTCTCTCTCTGGGGCCTGTCTCTCTCTCTCTCTGGGGCCTGTCTCACTCTCTCTCTCTGGGGCTTCTCTCTCTCTCTCTCTCTCTCTGGGGTCTCTCTCTCCCTCTGGGGCCTCTCTCTCTCTCTGGGGCCTCTCTCTCTCTCTGGGGCCTCTCTCTCTCTCTCTCTCTGGGGCCTCTCTCTCTCTCTCTCTCTCTGGGGCCTGTCTCTCTCTCTCTCTCTCTCTCTGGGGCCTGTCTCTCTCTCTCTCTCTCTGGGGCCTGTCTCACTCTCTCTCTCTCTCTGGGGCCTCTCTCTCTCTCTCTCTCTGGGGCCTTTCTCGCTCTCTCTCTCTCTCTCTCTGGGGCCTGTCTCACTCTCTCTCTTTCTCTCTCTCTCTCTCTTTGGCCTCTCTCTCTCTCTCTCTGGGGCCTCTCTCTCTTTCTGGGGTCTCTCGCTCTCTCTGGGGCCTGTCTCACTCTCTCTCTCTCTCTTTGGCCTCTCTCTCTCTCTCTCTTTCTGGGGCTTCTCTCTCTCTCTCTGGGGTCTCTCTCTCTCTCTGGGGCCTGTTTCTCTCTCTCTCTCAGGGGCCTGTCTCTCTCTCTCTCTCTGGGGCCTGTCTCTCTCTCTCTCTCTGGGGCCTCTCTCTCTCTCTCTCTCTCTCTGGGGCCTCTCTCTCTCTCTCTCTCTCTGGGGTCTCTCTCTCCCTCTGGGACCTCTCTCTCTCTCTCTCTCTCTCTGGGGCCTGTCTCTCTCGCTCTCTCTGGAGCCTGTCTCTCTCTCTCTCTCTTTCTGGGGCCTCTCTCTCTCTCTCTCTGGGGCCTCTCTCTCTCTCTCTCTGGAGCCTGTCTCTCTCTCTCTCTCTTTCTGGGGCCTCTCTCTCTCTCTCTCTCTGGGGCCTCTCTCTCTCTCTCTCTCTCTCTCTGGGGCCTGTCTCTCTCTCTCTCTGGGGCCTGTCTCACTCTCTCTCTCTCTCTCTGGGGCCTCTCTCTCTCTCTCTGGGGCCTTTCTCACTCTCTCTCTCTCTCTCTCTCTGGGGCCTGTCTCTCTCTCTCTCTCTCTCTCTCTCTGGGGCCTGTCTCACTCTCTCTGGGGCCTGTCTCACTCTCTCTCTCTTTGGCCTCTCTCTCTCTCTCTCTCTGGGGCCTGTCTCACTCTCTCTCTCTCTTTGGCCTCTCTCTCTCTCTCTCTCTGGGTCCTCTCTCTCTCTCTCCCTCTCTGGGGCCGCTCTCTCTCTCTCTCTCTCTGGGGCCTCCCTCTCTCTCCCTCTCTGGGGACTGTCTCTCTCTCTCTCTGGGGCCTGTCTCTCTCTCTCTCTGGGGTGCTCTCTCTCTCTCTCTCTCTCTGGGGCCTGTCTCTCTCTCTCTCTCTCTCTGGGGCCTCTCTCTCTCTCTCTCTCTCTCTGGGACCTCTCTCTCTCTCTCTGGGGCCTGTCTCACTCTCTCTCTCTGGGGCCTGTCTCACTCTCTCTCTCTCTCTGGGGCCTCTCCCTCTCTCTCCCTCTCTGGGGACTGTCTCTCTCTCTCTCTCTCTGGGGCCTCTCTCTCTCTCTCTCTCTGGGGCCTCTCTCTCTCTCTCTCTCTCTCTGGGGCCTCTCTCTCTTTCTGGGGCCTGTCTCTCTCTCTCTCTGGGGCCTCTCTCTCTCTCTCCCTTTCTGGGGCCTGTCTCTCTCTCTCTCTCTGGGGCCTCCCTCTCTCTCCCTCTCTGGGGACTGTCTCTCTCTCTCTCTCTCTGGGGCCTGTCTCTCTCTCTCTCTCTCTGGGGCCTCTCTCTCTGGGGCCTCTCTCTCTCTCTGGGGCCTGTCTCTCACTATCTCTCTCTGGGGCCTCTCTCTCTCTCTCTGGGGCCTCTCTCTCTCTCTCTGGGGTCTCTCTCTCTCTGGGGCCTCTCTCTCTCTCTGGGGCCTCTCTCTCTCTCTCTGGGGCCTGTCTCTCTCTCTCTCTCTCTGGGGCCTCTCTCTCTCTCTCCCTTTCTGGGGACTGTCTCTCTCTCTCTCTCTCTGGGGCCTCTCTCTCTCTCTGGGGACTGTCTCTCTCTCTCTCTCTCTGGGGCCTCTCTCTCTCTCTCTGGGGACTGTCTCTCTCTCTCTCTCTCTGGGGCCTCTCTCTCTCTCTCTCCCTTTCTGGGGCCTGTTTCTCTCTCTCTCTGGGGCCTCTCTCTCTCTCTCCCTCTCTGGGGACTGTCTCTCTCTGGGGCCTGTCTCACTCTCTCTCTCTCTGGGGCCTGTCTCACTCTCTCTCTCTGGGGCCTCTCTCTCTCTCTCTCTGGGGCCTCTCTCTCTCTCTGGGGCCTGTCTCTCTCTCTCTCTCTCTCTGGGGCCTCTCTCTCTCTCCTTTTCTGGGGACTGTCTCTCTCTCTCTCTCTCTGGGGCCCCTCTCTCTCTCTCTGGGGACTGTCTCTCTCTCTCTCTCTCTGGGGCCTCTCTCTCTCTCTCTGGGGCCTGTCTCTCTCTCTCTCTCTCTGGGGCCTCTCTTCTCTCTCTGGGGCTCTTCCCTTTCTGGGGCCTGTCTTCTCTCTCTCTCTCTGGGGCCTCTCTCTCTCTCTCTCTTCCTCTGGGGCCTCTCCCTCCTCTCTCTCTCTCTGGGGCCTCTCCTCTCTCTTCTCTCTCTGGGGCCTCTCTCTCTCTCTCTGGGGCCTCTTCTCTCTCTCTCTCTCTCTCTGGGGCCTCTCTCTCTCTCTCCCTTTCTGGGGTCTCTCTCTCTCTCTCTCTCTCTCTGGGGCCTCTCCCTCTCTCTCTCTGCGCCGTCTCTCTCTCTCTCTCCTGGGGGCCTCTGTCTCTCTCTCTCTCTCTCTCTGGGCCTCTCCTCTCTCTCTCTCGGGGCCTCTCTCTCTCTCTCTCTGGGCCTCTCTCTCTCTCTCTCTCTGGGGCCTCTCCCTCTCTCTCTCTCTGGGGCCTCTCCCTCTCTCTCTGGGGCCTCTCTCTCTCTCTCTCTGGGGCCTCTCCCTCTCTCTCTCTCTGGGGCCTCTCCCTCTCTCTCTCTGGGGCTCTCTTCTCTCTCCTCTCTCTCTCCCTTTCTGGGGACTGTCTCTCTCTCTCCTCTCTGGGGCCTTCTCTCTCTCTCTCTCTGGGGCCTCTCTCTCTCTCTGGGGCCTGGGGCTCTCTCCTCTCTCTCTCTCTGGGCCTCCCTCTCTCTCTCTCTCCCTCTCTGGGGCTCTCTCTCTTCTTCTCTCTCTCTCTCTCTCTCTCTCTCTCTCTCTCGGGCTCTCCCTCTCTCTCTCTCTCGGGCTCTCCCTCTCTCTCTCTCGGCCTCTCTCTCTCTCTCTCTGG